ATGTGATGCAAATTGTGGTTCAGGTCAGATAATCACCAAGTAAGCCTCAAGGCTCATGCATTTTCAACAAGAAGCAATGGCAAAAATGATACATGCAACTGGTAAGCTAACAAGTAACAAGGGTGATTAAGAGTTCTAAATCATGGCTTCTTCTGAGATGATGACCTGGTTGGTGACTTATTGCAGACTATTTTCGTTGAAATTATGCCAGTTAAGAAAGCTTCTTTACTGGCAGCAATACATCTTCATTTTTAACAGGTTCATTTTATTAGTGAGACACAGAATATTCTGTTCATTCAATAATCAAATTTTCCATGAAGGAAGGAGAAAGGTGGAACAAAATCTTTAGAAATTCCAGCAAGTTTTCCTATCTCTGCAGGGCCCAAAGTGTGATCAATGGATACTTTCAAGAGGCCCAAGATAATATGACCATTTTCTGTTCCACAATTATGGCAAGAACAGCAAGAAAACATAGATGAAAACAGAAAACATATATTATTTCAATTATAATAAAATTTTGTTCTATAAACCAAGAAGATATGATCATATACATTAATTATTCTATTCATTATTGTTGTTTCTAGATTATACATTTTTATACCCACCTCTAGTAAAGGACATCCATCCAGCTCTAATCAAGCTGGACTTGAGGGAGCTAGCTTATTAGTCCAGATTAACAAGGTAGCACAAATGTTTAAAAACCTGCATGACCAATCATTCATTATTTTTCCTTATGAAGAATGTTGCACTTGTCAAGGTACTGTGAAATATCTTCAGTTATTTTTTCCCTTTCCTACTTAAGCAGAATCAATGACCAAGTTGTTTCAACTAGTCACATAAAAAATAAATTCTGAATTTCCTTGAATTTGATTCAGGCAAAAAACCTTTCCTTTCAGCATTAGCCAATGCCAAGAATGCTTCTTCATGACAGAAGCGAGCTAGGATACCTTTGAGTCTTTAATGACTAGGATGGACGAGACTGCCGAGGAAGAGGGAAATGACTGCCAAGAGGGAGAGAGAGTATTAAAGATGACAGCAATAACCCAATTTTAGCAAAGAGTGATTGAAGGACACAAGCTTTTCTCCCTGTCCCTTACTCATTACTGTGATGAGAGGAAGAGGAGATGCAAGAAAGGGACTCTGATCTGGGTTTTCTTTATTCTGTTGCTCTTCTACTGGCAAAATTGGATTAACATGAAAAGACTCTGGGGATGAGAAAACTTTGAATAAACAAGAGCTACAGAGTAATGGTGACAGGATTAAATCGAGAATTCTCAGATTCTATGGGATTCCTGTTGGGCCCATTCCTCTTCTCCAAATAACCAAGAGAGCAGGATGACTGAAGTTAGGATAAACAAGAGACACTATAATTTGTAGCCACATTCATTGCATGAACAAGTATGGTAATTGATGAAATCAGACACCTATGAAGGCAGCTGAAAGGAATAGATAAAAATAATAAAAATACGTACCTCGAGTATCCGTTTATCTTTGACACTGGTACTTTCACTTAGTCTACAACTAATATAACCAACAAGGGTTGACTCTTAAACTACTGTTGTCCACTCTTGTCGTTGTTATCTATCCTTACATGTGTGGTGAAACTCTCTGTGATATATCAAGTCAAGTTTCCCTTTATGTATCTGCCAATATTTGACATATTTCTCCTGCAAAAGGCAACAGGTAGAGATGTTTGCATTAGACACAACAGCAATTTAATGAAAAAAATTAAACTTTTCCATTCATCACCCTCTTGAGACTCCTGAAATGACCATAATCTCTCATATACTGAATCTAAGGAGGTATAAAGCCGAAAGGTTGTTATGTCTTAAACGGTACTATCGTCGTGTCTTAAATCTCGTTACGTACCTTTTTCTTTCTCGTTGATATAAGTAAGTTCTTTGAGTCCCGTTCACGTCGAAAAAATCTTACCTATTCATTGGGCAGGATTCACCTTCATTGTGGCAAATAATCCTAAACCTTTAGGTCATCAGTGAAATGCTTGTTTAACTCTGGAACTATTGTTCAGGGTCCAATGGACCTTGCTCCAAAAATTTAGCCATTTGTGTAGGCTGCACCAGGAGCAAGAAAAGTCTGATACTCTATGTATTTTCATGAAAACATGTGATACTAATTAGGCAAAGTATTTTGAAGCGATTCTTCAGGAATGAAGAGATGGAACAAAGAGTTAAACATAAGACCATCTGGGTTCTAGTAGTTACAGGGTTAAACCCCTGCTGAATCTCTTCCATGCAGGTCCACTTAGGAGGGGAACTTTGATGAGAGCATACCTTTGCTTGGCCAGTGAGCAAACTCTGGATCTTCTCGCCAGGTTTCACATATGCGATGGCGATGTCCTCGCGGGTCACAAACAGATCCTCACGGAGGTAGTCCTCGAGGACTAACTGGTGAAGTAGACGTTCCACATCCGTCCGGGACCAGTGTTTCAGCCGCCCATGGACTCTAAGCCGATTGTGGCCTGTCGTCAAAGAGAATGAGTACAATGGCAATTGATGGCCAAAACTCTTGAATGATATAACAGGAGAGGAATAGACTGAGGCAATGGTCACATAAGGACAAGCAATTCTGGATAAAAGAAGTGCACTGTAAGACTCGGAGCAACATCATGCTCTAACCCTCATTTAAACATTCTTCTAAAAATGGTTGTAATCATTTTAAGTCACAGGGAATAAACTTTCATGGCCACTGCTATGAGTGCAGGATTTGATGACAAGTGCAGCAACCTGATGACTCATAATAACTCATGCAGAGTGGCATCTTCATGTCTTCCATGAGAAGGCGGAAAAAAATTTTTCCAAAATAAAGAACAAGAGCAACTGCAGCCATACAACCAAATGTATTTTTTTTTAGAGGGCAAAGCATGCAAGAGAGTACAAGCTGAAATAGAACACAATCTACTTTTGCACAGTTTGTCACAATGGGCATGACTTCAGTCTGAACAGATCCAGCTTGCATAACAGTAAATAAAGAAATAAAGACAGACCAATTGCCCAGGATGGCTACATTACCAGGTCCCATGCATGGGCTGGGAAAGGTTTGAGAAAAGCATCAACTATTTGTATTTTTTCTGTTTGCTGCCCCATCCTTTCTAGCCAATTCCTGTCCTGCTCTAATAATACTATTTCAAGCTCTTTCCTGGCCCACTGCATAGTTTTCTTCAAGAGGGACCTTACTTTTACCACCAAGGCAGCAATTTTAATACTGCATTCTCAAACACCCCCAGATTGCACAAGCTTGTTACAGCACTAATTTTCTTCTCTTACAGATACAATTTTGAAGTCATAGTTTTCTTCAAGTCTACTGTGTAGATTGCTTTCCCCCTCTAAAGATAACAATGTGCAACAGCCATTTTCTGATTGAAATGCCAGATCTGTCCCCAAATGCAGCAACATTCAAAAAGATTACCTGGGATCTTGCTTCTAGAAACTTGAACCTTCTAAAGGTGCAAGAGATACATTCACGAGAATCAGAAGAATGTCCAACTGATGACCTAGTAATATGCTTATGCAAGTGTGCTTTAGCAGGTTTCAGCAGGTAATGAATAAAGTTATGATCAAAACTATTAAATTTTTGACCAAATACAGTCAATAAATATGCAGATTTCAGAAGAAACACAAAATCACTACTTAAACAGAGGAAAGTGGATTTCAGAACTAAGATGGATTTTTTCATGACTCATCTGTGGGGAAGAGCAAGGAAACAAGAATCCTGAACAGGTGGAGAGATATGTTTGAAATTGCAACTTGATATGATCAATGACAACACCTAATCCAGAGATTCCCAAATGGTGGGTCATGCTGAAGGGTTCAACACAAGTGAAAGATGGGTTGGGAACCACTAACCTAATCCCTTCCCTCTTATTTTTCCTGATTGTACCAGCAGTACATCTTGACATTCATCTTCTGCTCAAAAGGGAACTATGTTGTGTGGGGCATTTCCTTTTATTTAAATTAAATTTGTTTCATGGAATCTATTTTTCTGCTAATTTTCAAAGCAAATAAGTAAGCAAAATAAACATAAACTTTCATTATTTAGAATAGAATAGAATATATTTCCACATATATTCAGGCAAGGATGAAGGATGAAAGTAAAGGCAATAACAAAAATGAAAGACAAGACCCTGGTGGTAGGGAAAAGGTCTTGATGCTCTGATATTCACATCTATGGAATAGATCGACCTTGATATAGACTATCAGGCAAGGATGAAGGATGAAAGTAAAGGCAATAACAAAAATGAAAGACAAGACCCTGGTGGTAGGGAAAAGGTCTTGATGCTCTGATATTCACATCCATGGAATAGATCGACCTTGATATAGACTTGACATTAACCTGAGGAAAGGGCACAATTTACAAGAATATGCAGAGACATCAATGATAAACACAGTAGAAGCTTTGATGCCTTGCTTTCATGATCATAAGGAGACCAAGCAAGAGGTCAGACCTATGAATAGCTGACTCTATCAATGGAGTATTCTAGCATGAGAATACTTTTGAATTTTTTCAATATCACACTTACTCCAACTGAAGGAGAGAGAAGAAAAAGGAGAGGAACCAACCAGAGTCGAGGATCTTCTTGGCCTCAGATCCCTTGCACACATCAGCAAGATGCAAGAGGGTGCAGCTCTTGCGGGGTTGGCGTGCCATGGACATCACCGCCTCTGCAATCCCCCGACAATCTTCCGTCACATCCACCATCTTCATGCTCCCCTGTGTAAGCCCAAATGCAAACATAATTATATAATACCTTTGAATCAAGGGATGATGTTATTGTGAGTGGGGATTTGATATAGTGAAGGATGGTGAACTAGATGAAAAGAAGTCCTTATTTATAAAATTTTATAAAATTTTTGGAAGCCCTTCAATTGGGGCATGGGGATATGTATTGGCTGGTCCAAGAGTATACTTTGTCTGTCTTGCAATCTATCTAAAATACAGCTATTACTGTACAACTACATTTAGTCAATTGAGGGGAGTTCATGGGAGCATTGAGTCAAGTAGAGCATTTGTCAAGTATTGACAGTTCCAGGCTTATGAAAAGGAGAGATTACCTGAGGCAAGATTTGGAAATATACATTTGTCAAATCACTGATGACATAATGTGGCCAATGAAAGCAAAAATTTCCCATTTGATCTTTAAATCTTGATTTGAAGTTGCCAAAGTGGCAGCAAACTACATGCCTGACATATGTCTCCTTTTTCAGTTCAAAACTGTGCTGAACTATGTCAAATACCAAGATGGCAAGACAGCAAAATAGATGAACATGCATTCACATTAACAAAATTAAATTTTGTTGGATTATTATCCAAGAAAAAAGGTAATATATGGAGAGGAAATCATGCAGAAAAGGTGACTGGAACATAGAAGCACAAAGAGCATTAAGCAGGAGAGATACGGAGCACAAAAATGGCAGAGTAACAGAGGGCTTTCCTGCTTTTTCTTCACTAAAGCCATAGCTGTGCTGATCAAAACAATACCCATTAATATCAATGACATGTCTGGCAATATATATATGATTTGCAACTAACAATAGATACACTTTTTCTTCTTCCATCATGATCAGGAACCATTAAGCTTCAAAATGAACATGGCTACTTGGCAAAGGAAAAACAAAATGGCTGCAACAGTTCCTAGGACAATAGAGGAAGGAGATGGCAGACATCACCCTGGTGCTAATATAGATCACCCTAAATGGCTTTCTCAATATGATATGATGTGAAAGAAGCAGGCAGCACCACAGCTCCTAAGCAGGGCCACTGCTGGTTACCACAATCCCCTTTTTGTGTAAATGCAAACTCTATACCAATCTGTACCAATGCTTTTCCCTTGTCATTCCAACCTCATGGATTGGTGATATCCCAAAATATGTTAACATGTAGCCAGGGATAATAAAAAACATTCCCACATCCCGTATCTAACTCTGAGGATGAAGAAGAGGCATGGAGAACTCACATCTTCCCGGCAATTATCACAGGTTGTGACTGTCTGGGCCTTGCAGGCACTCCGGTCAAACCGCTCGCCAAAATAATTAAGCTGCAGTGTGCGACGACAGTCGGTGCGGTTATCACAGTAAGACACCATTCGACGGAGGTTCTCATGATGGTGAGCCTGGGATGTTGCATTTCCACACTGATCCACTGTAATCAAATGACAGAATATGACATGAAGTCATATGGTCTCTGATTATCATCCTTGCCCGATCATATAAGTCTCACAAAAAAATTCTAGCCAGTTTAAATAGTACCAAAATTGTCACCACCAGTGACATGGTTGCGACAGACACTAAGGATTAATGGAAAAAATGATGGCCTAAGCAACATCCTTGATGACCTGGTATCTAAACTCTGGGAATTGGAATTGTATGGTGTATGGGAAATCATCAAATCTAAGGTACATTCAGTGATACTTTTTGTAGACCTACAAAGAAAAATGCAGTAAGAGACATTTGTTTAGAGGCTATAAATAGAAATGGCTTCAAATTTCTATCATGGGCTTTTGGTAAACTAATTTAGGGAAGGATTTTTCGTATGAAAAGCAAAAAGATGCAGCAAAGTTCACATGAAAATGCAAACAATAATGATCAGCTTAGGGTTTTGTTATATTGGCCAGTGCGAATAGACATCTGCCAGCAATTACAGTGAGATAAATGAATATATCTTCAAATGGCTGATGCAAACAGGGGGTCTACTCTACTCAAACCTCTTTGAGTTTGAGTATGATCTAGAATCCACAACATAAGACTCCATGATGTCACTGAACAAGTGCAATTCACATATTGATGGTTTTGGCTTGCAATGAAGGTCATCCAGGAAAATTACTTTTTGAAGAAAGCCTCACACTGTGTATGAAAATAGCCAACTCAAAACTCTGGAAACAGATAACTACTCATAATAACAGAGAGAACTGTTATGAAGGGAAGACTCTTCGCCAGGAAAATTTTGTTCAGCCCTCAAAGGTGACAAGAGCCATGAGAAAATTTCCAAATCACACCTTAAGATACCATCAGCATAATCTGTCAAATTTTTCAGAGCAAAAAAATTAACAATGCTTGCCAAAAAGATCTGAAACCTATATTCAGTCAAATAAATTTGTCTTGCTTATTCATGGATAAACGCAGTCGGCAAGTTGTGATGAAACCATACAAATTCATGTGACCCAAGAGGTGCAAAATTTTATCAGATAAGACCTGAGAACATCTGCTGTGTTAAAAATTTTTGCAGATAAGAATCTTGCAAAAGCATAACAATTGTGGATATTCAGACTATATATTGACTGGTTTCTTGCCAAATTATAGATTAATATTTTCTTCAAAAGTAGACTCAATCAGTGAGGTCATTACTATTCACTTGATCAAAAGAAGCAGCTATTGCAAGCTATGGCCAATGATGATCATGCATAGTCTCATCAAATAATCTTCCAGTTTTTTGTTTTCGCCCTTTTAGTTTCTTTTGAGCCAAAGGCCCAGCGTATCCATTCATCAACTGGGCAAGAGGCTTATCAGAAGCTGGATAATGATTTTACAGAAATCCATTCTACTGAGTAAAAATTCTGCACTCAAGGTTCAATCTAGTCCTACAACATGGTAATCCTCAAGAGCAGTTCTCATTCTAGACTATAGAAAATAATATTCAAAACATGATTAGCAGCAGTAAGAAATTTAGGTTGTTTCTTGAGCATATTAGAATATTTTTGACATTGCAGCGCTATCCACATTCTTGTAAACTTTTAGATACCAAAGCCTTCCCAATAATGTGGATATTATTAACTGAACAAATTCACTTGAGAAAAACTGAATTGTTGGAAGCAGGACAGACATTCAATGAGCTTCCGGAGGCGATAAACATCGCCATAGGAGTAGAAGAGGATGCAATGGGCAGTGGAGCCATCCCGACCAGCTCGGCCTGATTCCTGGTAATACCCCTCAATGGACTTTGGGAGGGAGTAGTGGATGACAAAGCGGACATCTGGCTTGTCAATCCCCATACCAAATGCAATAGTTGCACATACCACCTGCAATGCAATGAAAGAGTGACCAATCATGGCAATCCCAGATAAACATCAAGCACCTATTTATGGATTGGTAAACATCAGAATTGGTAAACATCAGAATAAGCTGACTTTCACATTTTTCCCTTTCAAAGATTCACAAAAGTAGCTAGAACAGACCTTCACACGATCTGAGATCCATTCATGCTGGACAGAATTCCTCTGTGGGTCAGTGAGGCCTGCATGGTATGAGACAGCTCTGATTCCACCTTGCGTGATGCTTCGGGCAACTTGGTTGCACTCTCGACGTGACAAACAATACACAATTCCTGACTGACCAGGAAATGTTTTCTTGATTAAATCAATTACATCTTGGATCACATTCTTCCCCTTTTTGGCAGTAACTGCATAACGCAGGTTCATACGGTTGAAACTGCTCAGGAACCTGAGCAAAAAGAAAAAAAGACAATTAGATCAATTTCCAGGGATTAAATTTATTAATTATGCACTTCTCTTCCTCCTATAACTTGAAAGAAAGCAGAGTGAAGATAGGGTTCACACCACAAGAAGCAAGGAAGCAAGACATCAGAGCATAGGAAGCACCAGTAAAATCATAAGGCACTCATAAGCACACTAGGCAATCCCAAGGCTATACTTACAAAAACCTCAAATTTTCAATAACCTACAAAATTGGAGACACAGGTGAACAACTTCCATACCAACAGTATAAAAAAATATAATTGAGTCTCATTTTCCTAATATTATTTCAATTTAGATACAGATTCATCTGGTGCCATCATAACCAGGCAAGTGGAAGGATGCCAAAGCTGGCACACATCTTAAGATGGCTACAAGCAAAAATAGGCAATGCAAGTGACACAAATATGAGGAAGGACATGACAAATCTTAGATAGTCAGGGTATGAGCACAGAAGACAGCATGACTCTATTTTCAGCATTACATTAATCCAGGGCAAAATCAATGAGTCAAAGAGCCAGAATCCAAAATATAGCAGTTCAAAGCTAAGCTGAGACCAGTTGCCTCATTTGCAGTCACAGAAGAAAAACCCATAAATTTTGCCATTCTTTCCAGTTACATTTTAGATGCTTTCAAGCTAATGACAGTTGTATAGGTCTAATTGGAAGTCAATCAAAACTAGGTGATAAATTTATGAAAGTACAGACCACTTGGGATTTTTCATGTGAAGCTGATGGAGGATGTCAGTTCGGACACGAGGGGTTGCAGTGGCTGTCAGTGCCATTGTTGGCACACCTGGGAACTTCTCCCGCAGCACGCACAACTTCTTGTAATCTGGCCTGATAAACACCCAAAAAAGCATGAGATTATGATATCCTACACTGAGACTTCAACTGCCTTCACTATTCCTCATTCCTTCCTTTAGTTCTCTCCCATCAATCATTACCATTTGCAATTTTCTGTCAAGCAAAGCCAGTCTCTGAAATCAGCACGAGTCCTCAAGAAAAGACTCACCGGAAGTCATGCCCCCACTGGGAGACACAGTGAGCCTCATCTATGACAAATCGTGATAGGAGACCCCTCTGATAAAGGCCATGTAAGGCCCTAGTCAGCTTGGCACTCGAACTCAACTTCTCCGGTGTCACATACAGCAACCGCAACTCTGATGAAAAAAATATGAGGCTTGCTTAGCTTTGCAGTCCATCAAATCAAGCCATATGTTTGGGTTTCTCATTCATTGCTATGCAGTAACAGACATTTCTCTAGATTTCTATCAACTTAGGAATTCTAATGAAATGATTCATTGAAAAAATGTAAGAAAATGAAATAAATAAATAAAAAACAGTGCTAAGAACTCTTCTACTCAAGTACTTCTCCTACCAGCCCAGTAAGAAATTAAAATACATTTCAAGGTAGAGCCATGATAACAATTCAATGGTGTGAAAACAAACATGGAAAATGAGATCTGGACTGAAGTAAGTATTAAATAAGGAGTGCTGTGCAACTGCATTCAAAGAAGAATTGTTGGAACAAGTCAGGAGCTAAGAGGCAAGTGAAAGTCGGAAAATAAATATGATTACACTTATACCTTTCTACCCACATTGACAGAGTTACTCCTTCAGTAATCAATATCATTACCTGCTTACTGTAAAAAAAAAATATATATATAAATAAAAATGTTCATCCAACCATCAAACACAATGAGAGAATTAGAGGTTACTGTTCTGATCTCCATATTCTAAGGGTACTCTAATCTCACATCATTTTCAGCCACAATACTTTCTCCCTCCAAGCCTCTGTCTCACAAAATTTCTTTTCAGACACTAAGGCAATTGATACCCAATCCCAAGAGTCTACTGTAGCCAACTATCTCAATTTCAAAACTGCATAGAACTCTGCCCCCAAAAACAGGTGTGAAAATCCTTGTCTACTGTGGCTGCTTCCTTGCTTACTGTTTGTGTCCTTGTCTGATGAAGAGCTTCTAGCCTGAAAGCTAGTTTATTTGTTCTTAACTCCATGTCTTTTATTCTTTCCCTTTCTAACCTCCCCTTGTCTTTTTTGCACTGAAATTGTCTTCTTATCTTTCCTGAAACTATGGAGTTGTATGGCTTTTTTTTTTCACTAAAATTTGCCAGAAAACTGGAGGAAGGTTCTCATTTCTTTTCCTCAAATTAGGCCTGAGCAAGATATGAGAGTATATGAGACATATAAGATAAAAGAGACCTTACTGGATGTTACAAAGGTGAAAAATAATATGTTTATTTAGTCATAATTGCTAGTAATAATTGACAATGCTTTTCAGGGACTAATCGGGTAAGTCTGGTTACCTGGATCCCGCTTGCTGATGGCCGCATAGACTGCATTTACAGCTGATTCATTGATCTCACCTGAGAGATGAGCAGCTGGAATCTAGGAGAAAAAGCACGAAGGTGGCAAATATTTGTTGAACTTCATTAGCAAAAAATCTACAAGTGTCTCAAGTGAAAATCCATTTATGACATTGCAGGCACAAAAAATAAATCTGGAATCCAAAGTTTATTTGCCTCTTCTCATACACTCCTGTTGTGCAATACCTAAATCAACAAAACATCCTGGTTTTGAGAGCATGCAAAATAACAGTGACTTACATCAAGGGACTTGAGCTTCTGGACCTGATCCTGAATGAGAGATTTGAGTGGTGAGATAACGATGGTGACTCCTTTGGTGATGAGGGCTGGAAGCTGGTAGCACAAACTTTTCCCTCCACCTGTTGGCATGAGGATGAAGCAATCTTCATTCAGCAAGGCTGCATTGATTGCTTCGAGCTGGGACTGACGGAACTCTCGCAACCCAAACACTGTCTTGAACACCTAATGGGAACAGGAAAGTCACATATATCAAAGAAAAAATTTTGTCAAAATATACACAATAAACAATTGCAATTGGCATTAGCTAGGGTTAAGTGGGGAGAAAAAACACCAAGCTGGGAAAGGAGTGAACCTGAGAGCCTGGCTGCTTTTATTTTTTCTTTAATTGATGACTACTCAAGAGGTGCCTATCCAATCAGTGGAGGTCAGAGTCATGTGACACAATAAATCAAAATCTTAGAATGATATCCTGAAGGTGACATCAAGAAAAAAGCAGTAGGTAAGGCCTAAAATTTACTCGAAGAAACACAATAGTGCCTAATGATATTGTGGAGAGTAGAACTGAATAATTTCAGTTGCTGTATATTGCAACAAACCTTCCTGGCCTATCAAAATTTTCACCTTGTGAAACTTAAATTCTACAACTTTCCTTAATCTTGGCTCTAAATGAGTTGGTATTCCTGAAGTATGAAAAGGAAGAAGCACACTCCATCATTCATAAAAATCACTTACAATGTAGCAATATGAATGATCAAATATGATTCTGCAATTTAAACTAGTGGGAGAGTAGGTAGGAGCAGTTCCAATCCAAAGACAGCAGATGTCAGGATTATGCCCTTCTGGAAGGGAAATAAGACTTAAGTATCCAACTCTATGGTACAATAACAATATGTTCATTGTTCTCTTTACATATATTTCCACAATAGCCCAAGTAATAATAAAAGCATGAGAACTTCTGCTTCATGCACTACAAATTTCTGATGATAGTGCTGATGATAGTGCATTAGCAAAGGATTAAAACAACCAGCAGATCAACTCATTCACTGATTATATTATTTCACAAGGAAAGCATCCCTTTATGTGGAGTCTTAGAGGGCACTCCAGTTGCAGGAAGTAACCAATTGTAATGCACATACAGCTTTACATGCCTTCCCACAACAGGTGAGTTCAACTTCCACATTTTGAATTTATAATCCAGAGAAAGTAATATTTTCTTCTAATGTTATACTTGCATCATTTCAGTATAATGTAGCTCACCTTAGAGACATCTTTACTGAAAGGGAAATTAGTTCCTGAGAACTTCCCTGTCACCGCATCATTCCGCACATTGCCCAGGAACTGTAATTTGGTTGAGTCAGCTTGACTCCCACTGGTTGAAGGCATGGCAGCTGGAGATGAGTGGTAGAGGGCAGTGGTATAATTGATTTCCCCATCTCTGACCACTGAAAATAGCAAAAGTCAGGCATGACAATAGGGTAATGTTGATGCTCCATTGCCTTAGACCTTTGACAAGATAATTGCATTCAAGAGGCTCAAAACAATATAGCAATAATTCCAACAATTTTCATAAAACACTATTCTTCAGATTTTCTTTAGCAAAATTCCATCCTAATAAAGGAGTAATTCCATGCAAAATCAACAAATCTTTAAAACAAAAACTCTCCCAGGTGCTAATTAGGAATGCCACTTTGGTTCATGAAGGCATGGTATTTTCATGCTCCTGAGGAAAACTGTTCTTGAGAGCTTACATCTAGAAATTTTGGGTCATATCAAATCTCTCCAGTGAACATGAGTAGTTTTTGTGATGGAAATTCTTTTCTTTCTTAGTAATGAAGTCTATTGATAGCTCATTTGTTCCTCATTCAATTCCTCATTAATACTCTAAAATCATTGGCATCATAATCATAACCATTAACCTTTTTTTTATATGTTTCATGAACAGAAAACTAAAGAAGAAAAACAAAGCAATTTAACAATATACTTAAGCAATTTTATTAGCAGTCCATTATGTTTCCTTAGAATGAGTGTTTCCACTCACACTTTTGCCATTAGCTCATTAAAAATTTCATCTGTTGATGCAAGGTCTAAATGGAAATAAATACATGTTACCCACAAAGTAATATACAGGGAAATGATACCATTCATAGCTTCAATTCATTTGAATTGCTTGCCTTGGGATTTTATTGAATTGAAGTTTTTATGAGCTCATGAATCATTGTTATGTTAACATAACAATGGGAATCCCAAGACATTTTACTCACAACATAGCAGAATTCCAAGTTAGGTATTCACAAATTAAGGAGGCAGTCAATGAAGCTTTGTTTACAGAAAGGGTGTTCCACAGAAGGAACTTTCTTTCATTTGAGAAAATTTTTCAAAATTTCACTTACAAGCTTTGATTACATATTTCTGCAAATCAGAAATTAGATCAAATGTACCAGTGACTCTTGCCTCACTCAACAACTTGCTATATAACCTCATTAGATCACAAAGTATACATTAGAGGCATTAGAAGCATAGCTGTGCAGTCCAAAAAGAGTGCTTAATGGGGAAAATCAGCATATAAGATGCTTATAGCAAAGAACAAATGTTAAATCTTAGCAATTTGACATTTGGAAGTTTAATTTGTACTCAGTCCAAAATGTCTCAGTAGTTGCAGTTACTACATCACCAATCTGTTAATGTACCTTAAGATAAGAGCAGTATGCTGTGAAATTGCTTTTCTTCTGAACCATTAATTGGTTCTTCCTGACCTGAATTTAGGAAAAACAAAAATTAATGGTCCTAAACTTTACACAATTTCATTTAAGAGAGCAAAATCTATCATACAAACTCTTCTTGTCACTCTCATGAAAGCGTAACTAATATTCTCTGGAAATCTGGAACTTCTTGGGAGGCAAGTTGATTCTCTTCAGTATTCTTACCAGCTTTTGGAGGAGATTTCAAAGGACTTGGGTCGCATGTGTTCCTTGAGACATCATTGAAATCCAGTGGTGTGGGGAAAGCTGAATTTCGATATGATGGCACATTCAATTCTACCAATGAAAGAAAGTGAAATTCTGTTAGTGCTACAACTCCTGAAAGAAATGACAAACAAGAACAACTCCAGTTATATGCCTATGGCAATGAAAAGTCTTTGAATTCTGGCACAGGTCCAATTTCAGGGATAAGAGATGAGTTTTTTTTAGACAAAGATACTTCCAACCATATTTAGATCAATACTGCAATATTACCAATCCTCTAAATTGGAATCAGAAACATGAAGGAAGGAACCTTCAAGGTATAGATGAGAATTAATCACCACTAAAGAGTTCATGAGCAAAGAAAGTAACCTTGGTGTTTTTAGACAACAAATGGAATAGGAACTTGACCTTGAGACAGTTTCTCAATAAAGGGTCCCTTTTGCTTTCATAGAAAAAGGCAAGACAAAATCTGTTGCGATCACAAGGTTATCCCACCAGGGAAGCTGAATTAACATGTCCTATCCCTCCTTTCTCAGTTATACAACTATCACACTATGACCTATATGAAGGGCCACAGGGTGATGTCTGTCATCACTTCCCTGTACTTTAAAACCAAATCAGCAAGGTATTTCAAAGGGGATTGCCCTCCTATTTGCTTTTTCCTTCTTATCTACCATCTTCTTATTTACCATCTTGCATGTAGGTCTAGAAATTAGGGAGTGGGTAATTTGACAAAAAGCAATACAGTAGAAACTGGATAAGCCCACACCACATAACTACATAAATCTGAAAATTGCAAAAATTTTTCATGACCTGAGTTGTTGCCCTATGTTTTGCATATGATCTAAACATGGATAAGTTCAACCTGGCTAAGGGCGCATATTTTAAGCCCAGTGTGCTACTTTTGTATGGAATCATACCCAGATAAGTGTACAAGGATATGGCCCCATCCAAATGTCACTCAAAGTGTCACTTTATAGCAGTTAACTCTAGTACTATGGGTTTGTTTTCAGCCTATGCCCCAGAGAGGCCTACCCTATGGCAAGTGCTGCCACCCCCACCCAGTCACAAGGATGCACTAACTGCTCTGACCATCCTCCATGCTTATTTCGAGTATAAGAATGTTGATCTGAACAACACAGATGTGCTGGAGGATCAATTTTCATGATCTGTCTCCTGAAAACTTTGTCCAGAAAAATATTTCCAACTATTTAAAATGATGCTTTGTTTAGTGACAATATATGTTTCCTATAACTAATCAATAGCTATTTGAAAGGTTTTAGCAAAAATTGAACCAAGATTAATGTATTTAAGCAAAACCTGGATAAGTGCACAAAATTTCCTTGCCGATTCAATGTGCACTTAACCAGTTTCCAGTGTATTAGCATTTTGCATTGCTTTTCTTTTCAAATTCCACCATCAACCTATATGGAAGGGAGGGGTAAGAAGCTAAAAAAAATGATATCACAACATGCATAGACATGACAAATAGGAATTGGAATATCACAGTATTCAGTAATAGCTGAGTTATTGCAATTCAAGAGTACTAATAGCACATTTCAAGAGTTATTGGTAACATTAATAGATCATCATTGTCAACACTGATTAAAAATTCAATCACTGCCTTAGTCAGTTATGAATTTTTTTATGAATAGAGCCTGAACAGATAATTAAAAGTTAATTTTTCTTAACAAGAAGGGAGGATAGACAAAAAATTAACAAAAGGAAGACACACCATTGAGAAGAGGGGAAATAACAAGAGTGAGAAAAAATGGCAGGAAAAAAAAACAAGGGAGAAATAACACCAAGGAGGAAGGAAGCTCTGTCCCATCTCCCTTTCCTTATTTCTAGAAAGAGCATTTCCTTCTCATTAGGAGCTACTCTGAGAGCTTCACCAAAACCATCTGGCAACTAGTTATTCTCAAATGCCAATTAATGAATTACCCAGATATAGGAACCTTTATCTCCAACACCAGTAGTATTCAATTACAAACAACAACCAAATTTCCATTTATCCCTTGGTCCCTATAAGAATGACTGAGACTTTCAAGCCACAAGTTACAGCATTACTTCACACAGTGGAGATGGAATCCAAGAACCACTATTGCACATACAAGCAAGAAAAAAAAAGGTAATAAGATCAACTAGGTACATAGCAAATCACACCTTATGCACTATTGGAAGTAGCCCAAGACTTTGAAGTTCTTGTGGAAATGGAGATATGAGAAGGGCATTATGACTGTTCTGATAGGCACATTTTTAGTTTACTCCCTTAAATTAAGTTCAAGTTACAGCATTAAAATGCTCTCCAATACTTATTTTGCAGAAATCAAGAACATGACATTACCATCGACTCCGTTCAAAATGTTGATAGAGGTCCTGGAATTTTCCTTGGATGCATCCACTGAGGGAGTTATGGCAGAAGCAGAAGAATTCCTGAACACAAAACGCTTTGGAGTATCCCCAAAAGGAGAAGCATGTTCCAGCATCACTTTGCTGCATTTGGGTGTGTCTTCCACCACCTTCTCAAGCAGGAGACGGCGACAGAGTCGGATCTTGTTCCCGACACGTTCCGAAAGCGACCGCATCTCCATGGCCTTGCTGGAATCAAAGCCTGGAACTTGACCCAGAACTTCTGGTGGAATGGACCCATAAAGAGCCACAAGTTGCTCCAGTGTGTCAATGTGGAGGTCTTTCAGCTCACTCACATTTTTCTCCAGAGTGGATCTGGGAGTCTAGAATTGGTACTTAGGAATTGGTACTTTCCATTCACTCACAAAACAAATAAGTCTAACAATCTTGGAAAGAAATCCTTACCTGTCCAGTCACAATCGACAATAAAGCTGGGTGTTGGATTGGAGGGGAGCAGAAATTCCTATTTTTTTCTGAATTGGCTTCATGGTCTGAGGCAAATTCTGACTCTGATTGAAGTCCTGGAGAATTTATTTCCTTGAGTTTTAGTTCTGAGACACCTGCAGATGTGATTTCAATACATGAGGAAGCTTTAGTCTTGGACTGAAGGCCTGAGGAGTCACAATATTTTATAAGGTTCATGAATGATACAAACAGGACTTTCCTTCTGAGACATCAGAAACCAGTTGAAGAATATAGACTCACTTGAGGCAGGTAGGAAAACTGGGTTGGGGGGATTGGGCTCATGGTTAGTGCCACAGTCATCAAGTTCATATAGAGATGGGAGGCTTTCATCATCCTTAATCACTGCAGCATTAGTCTCTGCCTCCTCTAAGTCCTATGGAACAGAGTATTTCAATAAATAGTCTCATGGAGACATTTGAGAAGCAATAAGCATTGATTAATCCTCTTAGTGCCATGGGTCTATATTTCTGCCCTGCCTTGGTTGTGTGAAAATTGCAATGGGCTGATATTTTGAAGAGATCGACCGATACTGGATTTGACTGATTTTGCCGATTCCAATATTGGCTGATACATGAAGGCGATAGTCAATGCGATATTTGCTGATATTTCAGCATAAAGCCATTTTGAAGATTCATTAGCACTGCTTCATTTACTTCAAATCATCCATGATTTCCAACTTTTCTGCATTTTTCTGATCTCCCATTCATAGAACATCTCTTGAAATACTCCTGTAAAATACTGACCATCTTGAAATCCATTAAGAGGAATTCTTGAGCATACCTTGGTTGTGATTCAGGAATTAGCTTCTTAATCCATTGTTCTCCACCAAAGGTCATGAATCCTCCTATCTTATTGAGGCGGAACTTATTAGATTTTATACACCTGGGATCAGTGGAGAGCCACTTTTTCTGCCAGCTGAACATGCAGAGCTGACTGTTGCAGTCCCAGCAGCTTCTGGAAGACCTAGACCTACTACATCACCTTTGGGGCCTTGCTTTCCGCTTGGCTGGCTTACAGGCTGCTTTTAAATTTTCATATCTCCCTCCCTTCCTTCCTTTCATTTCTCATTTGCATCATATAGAGATGGATGATGATTGCAATGATGATTTGAGGCATTTCTCACTTTGGCAGCTAATGACCTCAAGCTAATATTTACACGAAAAAGAACAGTTCCTTAGAATCTTTATCCACTCGAAAGAATTTCCACGAATTTTGGTGTAAGGAGATCGCCATTCCCACTCCCCCCCCCCCCCCTTTCAGTCCAATTTTTCCCCGTTCACTTATTTGAAACGAAGAACAGAACTGTGTCTGAGACACTCTAGAACTGGTCACTCAACGAACTGGATAAGCGACAAGTAAACTTTTTAAAGGGTGCTTGGTCACCTTTTCTCGACGGTTGAGACTGACTGTTGATATCGATGTCTGCGTCGCGAAGGAGAATGGCTCTCTCCGATGCTCTTTTCCAAGTAAAAAGTTGGGGATACTCGATAGACCGCTTGATGAGCAACGGAACAAACACCCGCGAGAGGGGGAAAGCAAAGAGCAGGTGACAAACCCAGTTCCCCCCCCCCCCTTTTCGTAATGTCCGCGCGAAAAAATTGGTGACCTTTAATTGGAATTCCCGGAAAAGTTAAAGACGAAAGGAAAAGCCTTTCTCCAACAAAAATGGCACTGCTTATCTTTCAGCAGTGAATGTCAAAATAAATTAACACCAAGCAGTCGAGCTATACTCGTTCAATTGGGCAAAGCAACCAGAGACAATAATACATCTGAGAGTCAAGGACTTCGAGAGAGAGAATCTACAGAATCAAAAACTCGCAAGCAGCCCACACTGAACCCACACATCTCGCTGCACGAAGCGGGCATGGCTTTTCGACTGAATTCCGGCTCCAAGTGAGCTGATTGAATTGGCAGATTGGATCTCTTGCTCCATTAAATTATGCGACGCAGAGAACGGCCTTTATGGATTTCGGAGTGCTTCTCTTGCCCAACGAGTTCCGAAACCAAATTTCAAGGATATACAGGGTGGGCCAAAAGTTTTTGCCCCTGTATAAAAATTTGAATATCTCCTGAACGGTTTGGGCTACAGAGTCAGAAAAAAAAACTAAAAGAAAGTTCATTTCATGCTCTTTCTGAAAATGTATGGTTTTAGGTTCCTACTTTCATTTGGAGATGAGTCATGGCCGTTTGAAAAACTGCGTGAAACTGGCAGTGCTGAACGTCTTCCAGTCACAGGCCGTCCCAGAAGAGCAAGAACGCCAGAAAACATTGACGCTGTGACCAATTTTCCCTGTAAAGGTTTCTGAATAAGAGTTTAAAAAAAAGGTAAATAAAAATATTAACACTGCAAAGACGAGCACTCAGCACAACGCTGGAGTAGACCACCGGAGGACGTTTAATTTTTGTCAGGATCTTCTGCTTGTCGGTTATCCAAATCAAGCATCAAAGGTTCGTTTTGGCAACTTTTTTTTCGGTGTTTTTTTCAAACGGCCATGACTCATCTCCAAATGAAACTAGGAACCTAAAACCATACATTTTCAGAAGGAGCATGAAATGAACTTTCTTTTAGTTTTGTTTTCGACTCTGTAGCCCAAACCGTTCAGGAGATATTCAAATTTTTATACAGGGGCAAAAACTTTTGGCCCACCCTGTATATCCACTTCCTGGTGTCATTATTATTTTTCTTTGAGACTCAGATGCCATCGGGTGATCATCAGCCCCGAGGAGAACGAAACATTTTAAAAATTCAATAGGCGAGCATTGAAATATCGTGGTTGATCAGGGGAGGGTCATTATGACAAGTTTAGGCCTACATTCACGCCACATTTTAGCCTACATTTTAGACCCTGGTCAAATGGGAGGGTTAACGTATGGCAGAAGGTTAAAAATTATACCGGGTGGCCCCCCCCCCCCCCCCCCCCAAAAAAAAAAAAATTCGTTCTGAACTTCGTGCGGCTGCAGATGGGACATCGTCTTGAAATTTTCAGTGCGTCTTACCCGACATAGGTAGGTGGCTTCAGGAAAAAATTCAATGAAATTCCCTGCTCTGAACACGGATAAGAGCTCTTTCCGTACAAGTCGTCAAATGAGCACGTGTCCATCAAGCAGTTCTTTCATTGAGTTCGGGCGCGTTCCTTTGCACACTCGCTCTTTTGACACGGGATAATTCTTGCTCGCGTAGTTTGCAACCAATTTCAATGAAAATTTTGTCACATAATCTGCAAGCATTGCACGGAAAAGCCTTTAAATTTCCTGTCGATAACTCATATGATACACCGTCTGCAGGCGTGCAAAGTTCGGAACGTTTTTTTTTCACCACCCGGTATAAGAGGGCCGTTCATTTAATTCGCTGACGGGATCAGGCAAGGACAGGAGTCCCCCTCCCCGTGTCCATGAATTAAATGAACAGCCCTCGTACTTCCGGACAATCATCAGCGAAACCTAACCCTTTGGGCGAATGCCTATCGTTTTAGCTGTTGAATTTCCGGTAGCCATGATTCCGCCTAACTCCTACGTACAAGAATAAGAACGGAACCAGATCGAAAGACTTGCAGTTCCTCGCCTCTCAACGATGCCATATTGGCCAGAACACTCATACGCCAGGGTTTCCATCTGGTAGCGAAAGTGTTAGTCCTAGTCATATTTTATTTTACTGCAAGATTATACCGAACTGTATTATTAATATTGGCCAAAATCGGAATGCATGAAAGAGCCGATGTGAATACTCACCGATATGCACACATCGCCCGATTTATACCGCAAACCGATACATCGGTCGATCTCTAATATTTTGGCAGCAAAATTTTTTTAAATGCTGGTTTCTGACAGGACTGACAGAGGGCAACATGAGGCATATTCGGTAAAATGCTCCATTTTCAGCAAAAAGGACGCAAGGTACTTTTCGAACATCCCTCACCAGTAAGCAGGGCACTAAGAGGGTTAGATAGCATTCGCCCTTGACAATGACCTCAGAAGGCCAAGAAGTCTGGACGCGCACCCTTACCGAGTCAATTATATCACAGAAGAGGTCATCATCAGTATCAGGGAAGAGACGTTCCTCTGCCCTGCCTTTCTTCAAAGGCGGTCCGTCGAAGCCGTTGCCATCACCACTGACGTCATCATCCTCTTCCAACACCAGTCTCTTCTTCTTGCGAACGGGATGGATGGAGTCCTCTTCTTTATCGCTGTCATTCACAACATTGATGACAGAAACGGGAGGCTCTTTCTTTGATGCTTGTCCTTGATTTGACTTGAAATGGAAGCGCCTTGGTGCTTCTGGTTTCTGAGGCTCCTCACTAGTGCCTTTCTCTAAGGGCAATAGCAAAACATATGGAAAGGAATTTAGAAATATATATTATGGGACAAAGAATAGAACGTGACCGAAGTAGTTCTTTCCAAGAAATATCATCACCAGAAGGTCCCATCAAATCGTTTGTAATTACGTCAAAGTTATATTCAACCGAATGGTTAATTAAATAAATATATTTAGCCATATCCCAGTTGCATTGATGTCCAGTTTGAATTTTTGCCAGAATAGATTCACCCCAAAAGCTTGTTCAAAGTCATGCCAGAAGTGTAACAACTCACAATTCACAGTTCAACCAATACTTAAGTCATAGCATTTTGTTCAGTTGAGTCAGCTCCAGGCTTTTCATAACCAGAACAATTACCATGATTAATAGAATTGAAGTCTAGCGAACAAGATGGAATGTAAAGTCAAGGATGCACTGTATGGCAAATATTTACTCCATGTCAATCAAAGTGGACATTTTATATTTTCGTTTGAAATGGAAGAATTTTGCTATCACCTGTTATTATAATGTGTCAGAACAGAATAAATGTTCTTACTTTACAATTTTGAATATTTTAAAATAATGAATTGAAATTAATTGCCTCTCAATTACTTATTTCACAACAAAAAATGCAACCAAATCACTTTTAAACAAGAAAATGCAATAGTGTGAAATCAATTAAGAGCAATGTAGACCCTATGATAAACACCAGTTCCTTTTTTTCTTCCGTATGCGACGCTGATAAGACCCCAGTTGGAATATTCCATCCAGTTTTGGAGGCCCACAAATAAGGGCGATTTGTTGGCGCTCGAGGGAGTACAGAGGAGGGCCACAAGAATGATTAAGGAGGTCAGGGGATTATCATACGAGAAGCGTTTAGAAGTGTTGGGACTGTATTCGCTCGAACGAAGGTTAAGGAGGGGCGATCTCATCCAGGCTTTCGAGATAATTAAAGGAATAGATAATGTCGAGTGTGGTAGGTTTTTTCCAGTTTGATGGCAGCAAGAGAACGAGAGATAACCGACTTAAGTTGCGCAAACCGCTGGTGCGGCTCAGGTCGAGACAGGAATTCTTTACTTGCAGAGTGGTGAACGCGTGGAATGCGTTAGATGACGAAGTAGTGGCCGTGACTATCTTTAAGAAGAAACTGGATGCTTTCATGAACAGGCAAAAAGGTTGGGGCGGCAATGTTGACGTTAGGTACTAGACAGTAAGCAACTAGGATAGTAAAAAAAAAAAAATTTAGCTCTAAGAGGGCTTACCCTAAAATTAAGGAACGCTCGACCTCGACACGTGATATCGAAATGGGCGAAATCGCCTCTTGATATCACTCNGTGTCGTCGGCAAATTTACTCATCTTACCCTCTACGCCGAGATCCAAATCGTTTATGTAGACCAAAAACAGAAGCGGTTGGAGGACCTCGCCTCGAGGGACACCGCTTGCTCGTCCGACCTCCTTCGACGCTTCCCCATTTATCATCACCCGTTGCTCTCGTCCTGCCAACCAGCTACTGATCCACTCGCGCGTCCTACCCTGGATCCCGTGCGCCTCCAGTTTAACCCGCAACCTCTTGTGAGGAACGGTATCGAAAGCTTTCGCGAAATCTAAATAGACGATGTCCACGGGATTCCCCTTATCCCTCTCTTCCGTCGCCCAGTCGTAGAATTCGAGCAAATTGGTGAGACATTCCATTCTTGACCTTTCCATTCAATTGACTATAATTATAATGAGAATAACGATAAGTAAATATAAGACATATGTCAAAAGGCAAGTCCTTGATGGAGATTGCATAGCATACCCTTGAATGGCTTTGGGGGAGAGGGCTCAGCCACCATAAAATCATCTAGATCATCTCCTGAATCAAATTCTGTTTTCCTTTCTCCTTCAGGAAAGCTACTAGTATTAGCTCCAAAACTGGAAAAGGGAGAAACAAAGAGACAAATCCTCAAAAGAAGGAAGAAAAATGCATCTGAAAAATGAACCTCAGTTGCTCACAAACCTGAAATTTGGAGTTATCTTAGCAACCGGCTTTGCCGGTCCCCCTGACCCGACAGGTCTGAAGCTGAACTTTGGACCACCAGGCTTCTGACAGGGGGAGTTCATTTGTGTCAAGGGACTCCTCTGAATAGAAGCATGCTCTTCGTTCGCATTTATTGTCCTGTTCTTGAGAAACCCTGTCAATGTTGGCTGCTTCTTCCCCACAGAGACATTGAGTTTCGGTGGAGCAGAACGACGATTCATGTCCATGATATCATGTGTCACTTATGATGGCATCAGGCATTACTCTGGACATTACAAGACATGGAGGCTGAAATGCAAAAGAAACATGACATATTGGATGCAGCAGGAACGGGCATGTACAGGTTCTCATTCTCATCTTCATGTACATACTCAAGAGGAGATACATGCTCACTGCAGCTTGGGAGCTTATATAGACCTATGAGGCATTTCTCAAACTGTGGGTTATGACCAGCAGTGGGTCATGAGAAGACAGCAAGAGGATCATGAAGATGCAGCATATATCTTTTCTTTCACTGTCCTCTCCAAACCAGATGAAGCAAGTTCACCATATAAAAACTATTAATCAGAAAAGGTGCGCCTGGAGAAACAGCTTGGTGTAAGGAGTTCATTAAGGGCTCATTTAGTTGAAGATCAAGCAAAAGCAAAGCTAGAAATGACATGATTCCAGCTTAAAATTGTGCATACTTGAAATTTTTATGAATTTGCACATTTCTATATTTTCTTGAAAATGCAACATCTTTTCAGAAGATGCTGTCATTGAGATAATAATGAAAATGCAAACAGAAACTGCAATCTGAAGAATTTTCAATTGCTTTAACTGAGGAATCCTGAAGGAGTTCCAAAGTACACAGCCAAGAAATTCCAGGCTGCATTACTTTTATTTTTTGAGCAGATCAAGTGTCAGATTTGTCTCAATTTTCTAGGACTAAAACCTTGTGGGTTATATGCTATTTGCCCAATAAAAAATTGGTTATGGAATGAAATTGTTTGAGAGTCCCTGGTTTATTGGGTTGCCAAAAAAGATCTAGAATTGCCATTCTCAACTTTTCCAGTTCTTTTAGGAATCATTTTCCTGACCAAATTTGTGCTTCCTGACATAGTTTCTACACTTTCCATACCATTTTCTGTCTCACCCACTTGTGGTTTTATCACTGATGATGTACTTTTGCCTCCATCCCAAGCACTTCTATTTTTTTTTAACCTCTCTACTCCCCAGACATTTCTATATCTTCTATGCCTTGGAGAACCCAGTTCAAGTTTCATTCAAGTTGAGTGCCTCCCTATTTTCCCAAAGATTCATTAGCTTCCAAGAAACTTGCAGGAAAATGATATAACACTTGGAATCAACACGGTTCAGCAAAATAAATTCCAATTAAAAAATTAATAAAGTGAATGCCAGATTGATGAGAAGACATATTCCAAAGAAGGAAGTAAATATAAGGTTCCTAATCAAAATATAGTGCCATTACTACCTAGTTTCATGAACAAAAATGGGCATAAATCCTTGCACTGAAAACAAATAAATATAAAAATCGCAGCATATGGAGCAAAAAACATGTTTCCCTGAAACATTTAATCATTTAAAAGATCCAAAAAGTAACCATTTTAAACAGGAATATGACTCCTGTTTCTCCCTTTTTCAGGCAGTCACCATTCCGATGATGAAAGAGGAGGAAAACCGTCCCATTATTCCTGGGTCTGAAATTATAGCCTGAAATTAACTCAACATTGTTCAGGGTGAAAATTGGTATGTAGAGAAAGATGTGAGCATGTTAGAGACTATTCCATTTCCGGCAAAACTCATGTCTAAACTAAAATTACTCTTGTCGAAATTTTACATTCAGAAATCGCCTCGAAACGACGAGGAAATTAAGTGAGATAAGCTGACCCCATTTTTAGTAATAAGAATCCACCCGAAAATCGCAAAGGACTTCGTTAAACATTGTCATATGTATCAACTAACTACGCCGGGATGTCCACCTTGAATGACGTGAAATCACTATGGCCTAAACTTTGCTGCTCTCGAACTTCCCAGGCATAAATCACGTCAGAATTAACCATCCATTGGCGCGCTCAAGAGGGCAGTGGAGGCAGCCATGAGTCATCGTCCTCGACGTCATTTGCTAACTGGGAAGAGTTTCGTCACTAGGGTTTTCCCGCAAATTCTATTTCCTGCTTTTGTGCAATAAGTACTTCTTACCCAACCAAGGACTAGAAATTCTTCATCTCGACTGGAGGGGCCACTTGCAAACTAACTTCGGCATTTTCCAATTAAAGGGAGAGAAAGTAATTCATATAGCTGGTTCATTGCGCTATAGACCCTGACGTCAAAGTCGAATATGCTCGTAGCTCTTGTAAGAGTCGATATGGCGAAGTGAGTGTTTCGCGAAGTGAATGTTGTCATCAGAGTAGGGTAGGCCAATGTGATGAATGCTGTCACGAGTGCGGAGTATTTGCTCCCGATTTGTCGTTTCAGTCGCTCAATCATAAAACGAAGTCTTTCACATCAAGTGCTTCACAAACTGGATGCATAGGCCTTATATGAACTAAAAGACACTGCCATGGGTAAGAGGCTCCGAGAGTGTGTGACACCAACAAGGGATTCCTCTCAAGAAAGACGAGGAAGGACAGCCGAGGATTGCTCGGAAGGGAGAGGTGATAGTATAGACCCCTATGTGAATGGAGGGGCTAGGCCGCGATATGTGGATTCCAGTCTCAGGGATAGGAGATTGACCCGTGCAACTCAGCCTGGGGACAATTCATCTGAAAACACAATTGCAAATGGCTTGCCTCCTCAACCCAGTCCCATGACACGCTTAACTCTAGGAAACTCTCAGGAGTCACAATCCAATATTTTCCGCTTTCCGACTTGGTCGAGTGCAGAATCTCCTTCACAAACTATGGAAGAGGGGCAGGAGTTGTTGGAAAACTTCATCCATGAAGAGATTCATCGGCATGGTCTCATTGAACCTGACTGCCCTTCTCCAGAATTCCATGGCAGGTACGTTTCAAAGGCTTGAGCATACCATCTATACAAGTAGTTGCTCTGTTTTCCTGATAGTCAAGGAACAGTTTCATGACATTTGGTTAAGTTTAGTCCAGTTCCAGACCTGATCATGAGCCCCAATCAACCATAATATAGTTAAAACTTAGTAATATGCATCTTTTTCTTGTGATTTCATGATGGATTGCAACCAAATGGCTTTTTGAAGTCTATCTTGTCAATTACTTTCTTGTATCAGTTTATTCTCATGCTTTTTTAAGAAGCCTGCAAGTACAGTTTAGCTTTAAGCTTGTTCCTGGTTATTCTCTGGTTAAACCAGGTTTAGTTTCAGTCACTAATTTTTTCTTTAAACTAAAAATGTACCAATTTTGGCCTATGTACTTCAGCCTGTAGCCTAGCTTGTTTCAAGCAAACAGCATCAGATTTTCCTTATTCTTTGTGACAGTTAGTCCATGAGCAATGTATAACACTAGTCTCTCAAATTTGGTTTCAAATTCAGTTAACTCAGCATGAATGAGGATAGTCAAGTCCTAACATATTTTCAGCTAACTAGAACTGAACAGAAACTATTGACAAACTGAAACTGAAGTGGTTTAATGGCATTGCTGCTTCCTAGAAACTTATAGGCATGCAGAGTGAGTTCTAAGTATGGAAACATAGGGAAGTGTGCTTTTATTAATTTATGTGTGTAGAACTTAATATTTATCAAATATGCTTAATATGATATCCCTTTTTCTCAATCCATGTATTGATTTGCTTCACCCATTCATGGTGAACACTGTGAAGTGAAATCTATGAACAAAAGAAGGAATAGCAAATAAAATCACATTTTCCTGTTTCCAGAATCAAGATTCACTGTGAATTACTTGATATCATAGGAGTATTTGACTAAAGATGTAGTTACTGATCGGCACTGCTGTCGTTTTGAAAATTTTCTCAAAATATTAGATTATGCTGATTTTGGTTTAAATTGCCATTCTGTTGTAATGGGGTTCAAGTTCAGGAAATATATATTGATTATTTGAATAGAGAGGGAGAAAACAATGTCACTGCTTTTATTTGATATAAGAAATGCCTGTTCATATTTGCAATGCACCTAACACAATGTTTTTTAGTTGTGCTGTTTTATTGCTACTTTAAGTGACCTGGTGACCTTGCTATAGCAAGGTCAGCAATTGATTAGCTTTTCCAGCAAAGTATTCAATTTCTTGAAATTTAGAAGCTGAGAGTGTCAATACATTCATGCAGAAAGTCAATCATATACGGACCCTTCTCAGAGCTGTGGAAGAGATGGATTCAACCTTGTGTCAACTTGTCAGTTTGCTTGGTTAAATGTCATGATGCTACAAAATTCCTTGGTCTTACCATTGGAACCTGTCCTGTCATCCCATCCATTGAATAGAGTACCTTCTTAGTGTCTCTACATGAGCAACAAAAATTTTGGGCAACAAAATTTTGTCTCTAAGTCTTCGATGGTAATGTCTAAAGGACACAAAATCATTAATTTACCAGAAAATGTGGTATTTTGACTGAAATCCCCTAGATTGTTGATTAGTCCTTGAGCTTGCATTGACCAATATGTTCACATATAATTTCTTCCCGAGGGAACCTATGCTTACATTTCAAATTTGATCATTATGTTAAGACATGAATTTCTTGAAATATTCCTCCTCTGTTTGATATTCTGGAGCATAGGCACTAGATTCATGCTGAATGGGAACACCATATGGTGTGGATGACCTTGTGCCAGAGAACATGTGTGGAAAGGATAAATGATGAGAATGGAAGGAAATGATAAGCCCTGTGTATGCACACCCTTCTGTATTTCCTTATTTGTGGGATCTCATGGGCATATGTACATTGCAGGTGATGTCAAAACCAGAAGTTCTATGGTATTATTTGTTGAGTGAGAGAGGGTATGGTTTATGTCACCACACCCCTCCTCACTCCTTTGTAGGCCTTGGCCTGCAACATGTCTCTGGAGCTTGGTGATACTCTCTCTTTCTCTTCCTCTTATAGGGCCTGGATAAGATAAAGTTTTGCTCTCACCTACCTTCAACATTCAAATGTATCTGAAACAAAGATAAAAGATTAAATCAAGCATTAACAAATGAACAACCATATGTAATATGTGATTAAATATTCCACTTGTGATACTGTACTGTCACCTTGCAAAATCCTTTCCAATTTTTTTCTATTATGTTTTCCCTATATCTGGCCTTCACCTTTTTGAGCAGGTGTTTTTCACTGATAGGCTTATCCAGAATAGGCTGATGCCCCTCATTGAGTTTAGCTGGTGATAAAAGTTAAACCTTAGTGTTTGGCTTTTTGCCCACTGGTTTGTCCATAAACAAACATATGATTTAATGTTGGCCGGACATTTGATTTGATGGTGTAGGATTGGAGCTGGTGAGTGACAATCCCAGGAAAATTGGGTTTGGCTGGTCTGGTACAACCTGCATCAAACTGGCCTCAACTACATCTAAACCCAATATCCTCCAGGGGCTCTTGAAAAAATAATAATAATAAAGGTGTTGTTAATAAATTGGCTAACTCCCTTTGAGCTGTTGGACCTTTTCTCTCAAGAAAGGATTGCAGACTGAAGCCAGATTGAATCTCCACATGCAGATGAAGTTGCTATGCATAAGTTAACTGATCTTGGTCCAACTTTTCATTTGATCATGTGTTTTCATCAAGAAGCACAGTATGCATGCAAAAATACCATACTTAACAGCTGTTGTAGCCAATATGTATGTACCTATCCCTCCATATATGTTTGGAAAAATCAATAGAAATGAATGAGGGCACCTTGTTTGCATGAGGTCCTTTAAGTCTGGACTAGTCACTAATCTGAACTCAAATTGCATTGGCCTTCATAAATCAATGTATTTTGACCTTTGTTAGCTATTGTGGCATCTTCTGATAACTTATAGGAGAGTGACAGATGATCTGCTTTAACCTGAGAGTTGGAGTGTTGTGGTGTGGAGTGGCAAAATAAAAAATGTAAAAAGTATTGATCTTTTACTTTATGGACCAAGGGATCAAATATGTGGGTATATCATAGCTCACAATACTGATTTTCGAGTCTCTCCTTAACTGACAATGAACCTGTTATAAATATCCTAATACCCAAACTCTGCTTAGTGTAGGAGTACACCTATTTTTATGGAGGACTCGCACATGATAGGCTGAGTCTCCCATTTTTCAGGAGACCTGGAGTGCCTGGAGAATACTCACAGCCTGGCTGGCAAGAAGTCGGAAATGAGCTACGAGTTCTTGCAGAGAGGTTTTCTCAATGTGAGGAGAGACAACGAATTCTTCAGAGAGCTGAATCAGTTGACATATCTTCCCTAAAAGAAGAAAGCTTCTTTGAGCTTCTTGAAGAACTCTTCCAGGTCAACTTGAGCATAACTATTTTATTAGCTTAACATTTGTACTTTGTCTATATAGAATTATATTATCTATAACATGGGCAAGGCCTATGAGGGAATTGGACCCAGTTTGATCCTTGGTGTGCTCATTCCCATTTTAGGCACCTGAAGGTGTGACCAGGGAAAGAATATTGGTCCTGTTCTTCTTCATCTCTGATGTAGCAACTATCTCACTGAAGAAGCAATATTATTCTATCTTCAAGAACTTGATTGCTTGGAGTGTGTCATTTCTAAAAAAAAGAGTTGTTACCTATGTGATTGAACATGGAGGATGGGTAAGTTCAGCAGGTGTAATTTGTGATATCAGGTCTGGGTCATTTTTTGCAGTGTTCATCCTTTGCTTTCTCATTACAGGCAGCTGTGATTGGAACAGTAACAGTGATGTCATCACTGGTCAAGCAGTGTGTCCTCACTGGAATTGCCATCCTTGTTGCATATGGATTTTATAGTGCCTTCTGGAAGAAAAGTTAGGGAAAACATATTACAAGGCACATGTAATTATGGCTGACAGCATGAGAGAAGGACGCAGAAGGGTCCTGTTACCTATCTGTTGGAAAAGTTATGTAACCTGGTAACCAGGTTACTGGGAAGAATAACAACTGATTTGGAAGGCAAAGAAGGGGGAAGCAATATCAATGACTGGGAAACTGGGACGGTGAAACATAGTTACTAGGAAGCAGAATAACTTTTTCCACCTCTATTACTTAATACCTATTGGAGATCTGATTCATTATTGCTATTCCTCAGGGGAACACATTCTCACCTCATATGATAGTGTTTTACCTGGAGAAACAGAATTGAATATCTCTAAAGCTCAGAATGAGAATATTTTAATACAGGAAAGTGCTGAATGTTACATCAAAAACTGACTATAACCAAATTCATGAGTTATTCTTGTCAAACCTTTCAGTTCTTTTTGTTTTTTACAATATGACAATTAATTTTGCTACTCTGCTTCATGAGCTTATTTTCCCTTTCAGTCTCAGCCTGTTGAAACTGTGCACGTGGATAAGTTTCTGACTTTTATGGATATAATTCCATTAGTATCCATGAAAGAGTGATTCTCAGAATGAATTTTGTGACATATTGTGGTTTGTGGTGCTGGCAACTACTTTTTCAATATGGTTGATGTCAATCATGAAATTGGATCTAAGATATTCATTTGTCCCTTCTTTCATACTTTATCCAGTAGCTTCTCTTCCAATCTGTCTTTTCTCGTGCTGTCAGCTAGAATCCCATTTTCTGTTTTGGGTTTTTAATTTTGTTTTCCCTGTTGGATTAAAAAATCAATGGGGAAATTGATATTGGGCATATTTGTTGGCATTTTTTTTACCACAGCATTTTCTACTTGATTCAGAATTAGATTATACTTTTTTGAGTAATTTTATGAGCACTAGGTGTTCATGGCCATACTGCAGTCAATGTGGAACACAACATGAAGTAAAAATTCAGAAGAAAACCTTTTTTTTATATACTGGGTGTAAAAGGAATTTGCTCATGTGATCTGATTGACTGGAGGATCTGATATGTCATTAAACACTGTGAATTCCTTAATGTCATTGCTGATCTCATGAATAGTTCTGCTCAATTTGTTTCCACTGTTGATGCTCTGACAATACTTTTCTTCTTTCATCTCTACTGTCTTCAAATCTTGTCCAAAGTCTTGTTGAATTGTCATGACTCATGAAAGGTCTGGATTTAGAGTAATCACAGTTTCTTACTTTGTTGAGTGTAGGATTAAGTTGCATCCAGTGTAATTCAGCACTAGAATTGACTTACAGTATGGAATTCTTTTGACATCAGTCAAACCTGGTATCAGTGCTTCAGTAGGAACTTGCCTTTTGACTATGTGAAACCTTATTAGGACCTCACTCGTGATCTTTGAATTTGTGAGTGATCAGTTGTCTTTCATCACTTGTCCAAGGACAAAGTCTAACAGAAGAATAGGTTTTCTTCTGTGAATTTGATGCTGAGTCAGTAATAATATTTTGTAGTTCTTGTAGTATTCATAAAATGAATTGGAGATATATGTTTGTCTTGACACCTGTGATGCATTGGATCAGTTTCTGGTATGCTTGTATGTCTGGCTCTGTTTCTTCTAGTTGTGAACTCTGCATATCATACTACTGCCAGAATGTTCACAAAAGAAGAATACCTCCAATTTACGCAAGTCATGAAATCTTTTTATATTTTTTTTTTTTAGTATTTATCCTGTGAGTTTACCTGAAAAGTTTCCAGCATTTAACGTAAGGACTAGGGATCTTGGATAGGTCTCACAAGTCATATGACCTACACTCTGCAGCTTATGAAGTTTGTTTTAGGTTTTAGCTATACTTGTTTCTTCTTTTGTGTTAAATTTCATGTTTTCAATTTGTTCTGCCTCTTCAGTCTTTGTTTTCTTTTTGTTAGTTTTTTTTTAATACTCTGTTAATGTGACTTATTTGTTAATTATAGGTTCTGGTCAGAAGGATCCCTGTGATGAGTTTCTTATGGCTCACTAGATCCATTGTCTTTCCTCTTCCTTCCTGACTTCTAGGACTTGTTTCTTCCATCAGATAGTGCCTCAATGTCTATCAGTAAATATATATGAACTCTAGATTCCAAGATGTTCAGTTCATTTTCTTGGTCATTCCTATGCTTTAATGTACATGATGTTGAACCTTGCCCCATTTTATGCATTCATATTCTAAGCCTGTACAGTAGATTGATGCATGCATGCATGCATGAGAATACCCTACACCCACCTGGCTTCTTGGCTTCTCCGAGAAAGCCGGAACAGTGCAAGGTGCACTGTTCTAAAACTGGTGACATTTTAAATCTTGTATTTTTAAACAACTTTATTTGCTGATCCAAACAAGTGTACCATGGTTTTTTGCATCACCATTTTTATTCTTCAGATGCTTATTCTGTAAGAGGAAGAGATGGAAGAGCACAGCAGGGTTCCTATTCGGGACCCAAGTGGGCCGGATGAGTCTGAGGTGAATGCACGTGCTGAATCCAATCCTGATGTACCTGCCATGCCTGCACAAGTTTATGGTCTTGATCTCAGCGCATGTGGTGACTCAGTGTGTGTCCGTATGAATGCAGATATGAACCCACCATCATCATCAGACACAGAACCATTCCTTTCAATGAATCCAGACACTGGCACTGAATGCTCAACTTCAACATCTGTTGAGTGCATGCATTTTGGCACTGTGGCAGTCTCAGCTGGACTTTCATCTTCAGATACAGTGGCTGAACAGTCACTCCTGAATTTGAATGCAATCACTTCAACCACAAATGGTGAATCATCAGTAGTAAATGTATCAGTGCCAAATGCTTTCCCAGAGCCTCCTTCTTGCTCAGAATCTAGCGGTTTTTCATCTGAATTGAAGGCTGATGATACTTCTAGCATCTCATCTATGAGTGCATATACCAGTATCAGTAATCAGCCTTCTGATTATATTGTCACATCAGATGAGCTCCCATCCTCAGATTTGTTGGTTTCAAATGTGTCCAATGAGCTCCAACAACACAGGAGAGCCAATGAGTTCTCAGCAGAGGGTATGATGGATAAAGATATATCAAACACCAGTGAGATTTTCCCTTATGGTGTTGCAACAACTGATACAGGTAATGAATGTGCTGCCACATCAAGTGAACTCTCATCTTTGAGTGCATTGGTTTCAAGTGCACCTAATGAGCCTGCATCTCATAATGAATCAGATGGGTTTTCATCTGCTCCCTTGTTGGCTGAAATTGAACCAAATCTTGATGGTGTGTCATCATTGAGTGCAGTGGCCACTGGTGCAAGTTCTGAATACTCACCAGACAATACCATGTCTACATGTCCATTGGATACAAATGCTCATGTCAGGAATGAATCTCTGCTGCCTGGAAGCAGTGGAATGTGTCATCCTCAACCTGCATCTAGTGAATCAATGCCCAAAACTGATTCAAATTCTGACCTTGCTGACAATATGAGGATACCAGATTTTTCCAGCAGCTTTGGACCAAATCGCTTTGTTTGCAGTGTTGATCATGATGCTACAGGAGAAGGTGCACAAGTTGTTGATGATAATGAAGCAAAGCCCATTCAGGATGAGTGCTCAACTTCATTGGACACATCTGCTGAATGTCGCCAAGATAGCAATGATGGTGAAGTTACATCCTCAATTGACATACAATACTCAAATGATTATGTGGATGCTTGTTATGCCCCCAACAGTAGCTCGTCTTACTCAGAAGGAGGGGTGCAAAATGATAATGAGGCATCAGCATGCAGCACTGAAGCAACTGGCAGCAATGAATCAGATCAAAATGTGACACAGCATCAACTACAACATGAATGGAGTAATGCAGTACGTGTGGAAGTGAGTTCGTCTTCAGACATGAGAATGGTTTCCCACCTGAGAGAAGCTATCTTCCGGGAGCTGCGACAGACAACAGTGGAAGAACCAGAGGCAGCAGTTGAAGGTGCACGGACACAGAGCTCTTGTGTGTACAGTGAGATGCCATGCGATACCACTGACCTGCATGAGCCATCATCCTCCTCTGACACCGAATCCTATAGTGATACATACAGTACTCCTGTGCAAAGCCCTGGGCTGCAGCTGCTTCAACCAGGCACCTCCTACCATCACATCCATGATGAAACCAAACAGCCGGTGAGGAGCAGCCTGAAGAGGAGAATAGAAGAGGATCCTGATGAAGATTCTACTCCTACTCCACCCAAGCAGAGGAAGACATTGGCCTTTAATGATGTTACCGTATATTATTTTCCCCGCACACAGGTGAGCTATAGATCTTTAGTTGTGGTTAGTTTTCATTTGGGATAACATGTAAAGAAGTGTAATGAATGAAGAGGTAATGAGTATGCGATGATGAAAAAAAAACAGACTCAACAAATGTCATGTTTGTATGCACACGAATTCTTGCTTGGAGTGAGTTGAGGGAAGCCTTTCTCAGAAAGAATGCTGGTTACTTTATCCCCAGAGAGTAGAGAAGACTAGTCATTTTAAGAGTCTTGTCACATCATCATGTGTAATGTTGGGCATTACTAGTAGTATTACATATAGTGGATAGACATCATAGTGAATGAGAGGACAAAGTACATCAATGAATGGCTGAAAATCAAACCTTGGGGCCTTCTGATTTTCAATCATGTGTGCTACCACTACCACTACCCAATCAACCCCCAGAATATTCACATACATGGACCTCTATGCCATCCTATTCCTGTTTCTTATCTTTACATAATTTCTCTCATGTCAATCTGATCTCCAGACTTATTATGGGCACCTAGTAGTGATATGATAGTCAGGTTGAAGTTTCATAGCACAGTTTCTAAGCCACCTCAGGGTTCATTGTATTCCCCATTACAAATGTTGCCCCAGATTCCTTCTTTTTTTTTTCATCATTCTTTCATAATTGGAAGGTCATAGGGGAAGGACTTGGCCTTGGCTGTCAAAGTTGAGTCCCTGTGGTATGCAAGCAAAGCCTTCTGTCCATATTTAATTTTATCGTGCTATGGGAGGAAAGTCCCTATACTGTTCAGCTTCAGTTTGTGTTTTGTAAAAGTCCCTTTTGGTAAATAGAATTTTGAACTACTTCTACATATTCAAGGAATGTGAAAGCCTACTTGAAACTTGCCCATCTCCCTAAGTTCTCTTATTTATTTTGCTCAAATGCCATTAAATTTGTTTGTCTTATGTTTCCTTATCTGTTTCTGAAACCATCCCAGTGAAAGTGAGACTTGATCTTAGGCCCATAATTAAGTATTTAAATTTACATCCTTAAGTCTTGCTTAGATTTTTCTCTTTAAGATGTGTTTCATATAGAAGTGATTTGTTGAAACTTTTGCTGGACTTGGCACATCCTGAGCTCGTGCCACACTGGCACTCATCCTTACTTCAGATTTCATTAGATAAAGACTAATTTCTTCTTAAAATTACCATTTCATGCTTATTTCATATCAGGCATCTGATATGAAATAAGCATGAAATGGTAATTTTATGCTTATTTCATATCAGGCATCAGAATTAAGTTCTTTGGGTATTGGTTTTTTCATTATCAGTATCTGATCTAGTCAGAAAACAATTTTGTGATGTATATAATTTCACTTTGTATATTTGAAGGGAACAAGGACTTTATCCCTTTAAATTTAGCTTCTGTGTAATCTTTCTAATCTGATTGTCTTTGTTTCTCCAGGGTTTCACATGTGTGCCTAGTCAAGGTGGATCGACACTGGGGATGACATTGCAACATTTCCACAGCGAGCAACTGTCACTCGGTGAACATGAAACTGCTCAAAAGCGGCTTCACAAGGCCATGCTCATGGAGCTCAAGGCTCAGGATCGACGGATGAGCCGAAGTGAAGACAGTCACAGTGAGGAAGAACTGAGTGATGTCAGTGACTCTGATGTGGAAGTTGACAGCTATATGTTCTTACAAGTAAGTTGAGAGAGTTCATTACTTCAGGAAGCCTTGATGTGGCAAAAATGAAATGTGGCTTTGATAGATACTGGTACAACTGGTAAGATTAGTCTGGTGACCAACAGTTACCTTTTTTGTGTAAGGCATTAAAAAAGTCTGCAGTGAGAATTGTTTCCATTTTGGAGTAGTATATATAAGGGTGAAGGTGATTGAGAGAAAATGGGTCAACCATTTAAGCATAACCTCTGCATGTATATACAGTGACAGTGTTGTCTCATTGACCTATGCTTCCCTAGAAGCAATGAACTTCAAATGCTGTTGGCAGTTGCCACTAAACATTGGTATTTGGTGTCACTTTTGCTGTGTGGGATTTTTCAGGATTTTGGGTCTTTTGGGAACCCACACTTTACCGGTCTTTGGCATATTTTTTATAGTCCACTAGCCCTACTACCCATAATACATAAAATCTCATAGTAGACTCTTCTTTGGCAGGATGACTACAGTTATTAGCCACCAAGCTATTGGCAAGTAATAGTTAGAATCCCTAAATTAGTGATGCTTTTGAAATCATATTTTTTGCATCTCACTTAGCTCTTACTTTTACTTTGGACCTGTTGTACTTGTGATTATGGAAGTGGATATGTATGTCATGATGCTGCCATACTAAGCTGGTATGGTTTGATCTTCTCTAGCCTGTGTCTACACGCCAAAGGAGAGCACTGTTGAGGGCATCTGGAGTGCGAAAGATTGATGCCCTTGAGACAGACGAGTGTCGGAATATCCGTGTCTCTCGAGAGTTCTGTGGCTGCCAGTGCAAGGTCTTCTGCAGACCTGAAACCTGTCTCTGTGCAATCTCTGGAATCAAATGCCAAGTCAGTGGACACCAAATTGGCAATTCATCTTGGTTTGAATTTTGATTGTGGATAATTGATTACCTTTTTTTTATGTAGTATTCAAAGACCATGTGTCAGCTCCTAGAGGAGAGGTCCAGTCCCTCAGTATTGGAATCCATGAAGCCCCTCATTTTTTTTTGTTTTTAATTTGAGCCTGGATCAGTATCTGAGCCAGAAGTTTTTTATTTTGTTCAAGCTTGGTTCCCTTATATACCTGTTCTTCATATCATCCCTTATGTACATATTATCATGAGCATTGCAGGTGTCAGTAATGGGCATTACTGAATAATTATATTGGTATCAATATTAGTCATACCAAGATCAGTACATCCTTAAAATTACAAGTTGTTCCATTCATTCATCTTTCCATTTCTCTGTTAGTGGTCCTTTGATGGAAATTTTATTTTCATGATTGGCTCTTTGTTTACTTATATACATTTGCTTACAGGTGGACAGGCAGAATTTTCCATGTGGATGCACACGGGAAGGCTGTGAGAACCCTCATGGTCGGGTAGAATTCAATGCCCACAGAGTGAGGAGCCATCTGGTCCAGACGTTGATGAGGTTGGAGATGGAGCGAAAGCAGACAGAAGCACTCTCCTTGATGCAACAAGCTGATACACAGAGACAGGACCATCAGGAGCAGCTTGACCAGGACCAACATCACCATCAGGTCCATCAAGAGCATCAGCAGTGGCTTCAGAGGAACTTTCAGATGCGTGAGTTGACATTTCATGATTGGTCATGTGCATGGTATTTTTTCTTGATGCCAAGCTGAGAAGCTTATTCATTTTTTTCCTCCCAACAGAAAACTATGGGAATAGAGAGAAGCCATCAAATGAAGGAGAATCGAGTGAAGCCAGTACATATAATGGCCTCCAGTACCTCCCACATTCATCCACCAACACCGAGTACTCGGGCACATATACCACTAACCCACAGGAGGTTGTGATGAGCCCATATTTTGGGGTGCGGATCCCAGGCTTTTCACACAATACAGGCGACATCCCCACCTTCCCCTCGTATCACCTACCTGTTCATGCCCTCACCTATGTCCGGGATCCCAGTTGTCCCTTCCATAGCATTTATCTCAACCCCAATGCAGGATCATCGGCATCATCATCTGGATTTGAACCCCCGAGGTACTTGGAGGCACCATCGAGTGAACCGGCAAATGATGGTGGTGTGGAAGCCAAAAAATCAGATGAGGAGCCAATTGAGAGCAGTGAAAGTAGCCAGATGTCTGATGAAGGTGGAGGAGGAAATGAGGACTTCGGTCAAATCATCAAAAAGAGCATGGTGGAGACTGTCTCTGCCTGACATGATGTTCTTTAAATGCATAAACAAAACATATATTTATTCTTTTCTTCATCTTCATCTCTTTCTCTCCTGAGATGTCTCAAGAGTACAAATTATCAGTTTTGTTCCTTTGGTTTTTTTTTTCTAACACAGATGATGTTTTTCCATGTTCTGTTGTAATCAAGTGTGATGTTGTTTGCGTGTTGTTGCTCTGCGTTTGGTGCGATCAGCATTATCCTGTCAGCAGCTATCTTGTGTGCTGAAATTCTACAGAGGAAAATATGCATGAATGCAAGTTTTATTCTTTCAAGTGTATCCCCTGCCGCTCTGTTGTAGCCCCAATCAGATGTTTGTCTTTCGAGAAGATGCAAGGAATCGTCACAGTTTTTCGTTTCTCTGCATACTCGGTGCAGTTGAGAAATGCAGATCATCTGGGATTCATCGGCTGAGAAGGGGGAGGAAACGAGGGACGGATTTCCCAGTGCCATCTTCGCACGTTGATGTCAGTTGCAATTTTTACTGAGAAACACTCATCCCTCTGGTTCCCTCACCCCTCCACCTGGACATCTCAGGTGATCTCAAGGTCTGACTGCCTTGAAAAACGCATTCCTACTGATGCAAAGCACAAGCTTGAGAAACTTTCGATCACTAAGTGGGCTCAATGTAGTCAAACAGATCATGGTTTTCTCGCTGGGGAGATCTATATACAGGTCAATCACACCCCGGAACTTGTGTGTGCAAAAAAAAATTGCAAGTGAGTGAGTCGTGTGCCATTTTTCCCGAGTAGTGATGGAGAGATGCTGCATTGTGAAGATACAAATGAAAGCAAATAAAATCTTGTTAGTGAACCAAGAAAGTTTTGCTTTTATTTTTCTGTTGGAGGATCATTACTGTAGTGGCATTCATGGCAAATTTTTTTTTTTTTAGTGACAGCGACGACATGAAACAAAAAGCCTATAAAAATCCCTTAATTTATCAAATCAACTAGATTTGGTTAGCAACGTCGCAAAAACTCTGCTATAGATGTAGTGAACATTTCCCGACTACATTTCATGGGAAGCTAAAATTACGGGAAAAGCGTTCCGATTTTGAAGCAACCTCGACGGCACATTTCTGGAGCCTGGCATCACAGGAAACACTTGCCCATTATGGCTTGGACAGATGAAAGAGGCAAGGGACAGTCAATGGGGATGAAGCCAAAAAAAAAAAATCGGATAACAGAAAAAAATTGGCATGAGCTTCTGTCAACTAGTTTTGACCATCAGAATCAGTTATTTCTTAAATCCAGGATATCAGTGATAAATGACAGACACCCAAGAAATTATGCAAGTTCTCAATCATATCAATTTTTATGACCACAGGGTTTTTATGTCATCCTCCAAGCGTCATTAATGAATGAATCTGATTCCTCATCAAGTAAGGTCATTCTGTGTGTGATCAGTCCCGTCAATTTTTTTGGTACTTGCAAGAGCAACTTGCCATCAACGACGTACCTCGGCGCACCTCGTTCAACTTTCCCTGTATGATCAGTACTGCAGATTAAAATTCCTAAAACAAAAAGACCGATCACACTTACCTCTTCTTCGGGGTAAGTCCCTTTAAAGTGAGCGGATGAAAATCCCGTGATTTGAAGCTAGACAGTCTAACGTTGCCGTGCACAAAAGTACTTCATCATATCTGCCATAGATAACTTTTGCCATTGTTAAAAAAAAATGATACTTTGATTCGATGAATAAGGTCGTTCTGGGTGAGTGTGATAAAAAATAAATAAATAAATAAAAATTTGACCCGAAACTACGTTCATGCATTCCACGAGTCCAACTGAAATAGAATTTCTGGTTAAATTCTCAATCACAAATGAGCCTTTTTTTAATATATATAATGGCCATAAGCACCAGATTTGGGATATTGGTGAAAGCGATACAAACCGAAAAGCACTGCAGAGAGATTTTATTATTCTTCCATTCAAAATGGAAATTTCTCGTCAATATCATGTTTTGATTAATTCGTGGAACCGATTTATTTATCATATTTATATTCCGATTTATTTGTGGAACCTAAAGTGGATTTTCTCAACATTTCAACCTTTTATCAACGTTGACGCAACGTTGTGCCGAACGAGCTCGACCGCCTCCGAGTTAAACGCCGACACGTACTGCACCGAGATTTTTATTCGAGTTAATATAAATACTTTTTAAAAGGCACATCTCGTCCATCTAATTGGCGACCTCCTTGTCTCTTGGAGACGCGATGCCCGCCTTCTCCCCTGGCGGGTAGGGCAGGGGAATGTCGAAGCCGAACATGGTGAAGGAGTACTGGATGTACATGTAGAAGGAAGATGGGGTCGTTCCCCGGACGCGGGAGTTCGGGCCAAAAATCGGATTCGCCTGGGTCGCGTCCCGTTTCTTTCTGCAGACTCCCTCGCCGGATTCGGAGGATCCGCACGGCGATTCTGAAAGGAAAGAACCGAATCAGACGTTGATATTTCACCTACCGAAGGAGCATCCTTCGCTATTGGTATTGTAGTCGCCGATGTAGTCCAGATCATATTTTTTAAATCCTTTTTTTTTTCCCTTAACCTCCTGAGTTTCAAACGTTTTTGCAGAATGTTTTCAGCCGAAGTTTGGGACTCTTTGAACGTGAAAGAAATTATTTAAAAAAAAAAAAACAATTTCTGCCTCAAGAGAGAGCGAGTGGAGGTGGAAGAATTTTGTTTTCTACATTTCCTCGATGTCAGCACCAAACTCGACTTCGTAGAAAAGTCGACTCGTCGACATTGTCGACAAGAACCGAAATTCCATAAATCCTTACCTCGGAGGTAATTCTCCACGATCGAATCGGCCAAGTGGACGGCCGGCATCCACCTCTCGACGAAGCCCATCTCCTCGCCGTCCCGCCTGTACAGATCCTTGAACGTGACTGCGACGACCGTCTGGATCCAGAGGGCGAAGGGCAGGAGGGCGAGTCCCGTTTTCAAGTTCATCTTTGGCTCTCGGCGAGTCGCGGCTTCGGCCTCCTTTCCCTGGACAGGGGAATTCCTGAAATTGTATCAAAACTATTCTCGGATCGTGTTTATGCATTCGAGAGACGAGGACGAAGTGGCCCGCACGAAAACGCGTATCTTCCATTGAAAATGAAGACGACTTTTTCCATTCGAACGAGGAGTCCATTCCACGATATGGACATATGGTGTCTCACCCTTTCTATTTGAGACATCCACACAACGGACGAAATCACACAGTCGCGATGCAAATCATATCCACACGCCAATTCTGAATTTCAAGAATTTTGCCTGATAAAAAAAGATGGAGAATCCCACGAGACGGATGGATGAACATACCCACACAGCTAGTTCACACAAACGAATCGAAGAACGAACGCGTCTAGCAAGCGCAGCTTCCAGGCCGACTCCACGCCGAGAATGACGAGGGAGGCAGTCTGCCGGATGGCCCTCGGGGGAGAAGGGGGTTCGCCTTTCGCCTGTCTCAAGGTCGCGCTGAGAGGTCACGGCGTCTTCCCAAAGCCTGCGTGGGGGGAAGGGAAGGGATAGGAGGCACACCGTGTTAGTTCATTTCTTCCTCTGGATTCTTTTAAATGTGGGAAAAAAGGCGCCATTTTTCTTGGTTCACCCCCGAGGGCCATCCGGCAGACTGCCTCCCTAGTCATTCTCGGCGTGGAGGTGTGTGCTGCATATGTGACAGCGTCGGGGGAAAAATATGATTTTGTATACATTTACTGTAAGGTAAGAAAAAAAAATACGGCAATTTGCACTGAACTGCAAAAACTCTTTCATTTTAATGCAATTTTTGGTTCTTGTCACGGTGGAAGAAATTTAACAATGGAAAAAACTGCAACAAATGTACTTCGTAGTAGGTCAGGGAAGGATATCTAATAAAGATTCGTGACAGTAAATGCATGGCAAAGAAATTTGAAGCATGAAATAAATAAACAAAAATTGAATTTGCGACAGAACAAGGTGAAAGGTCTCAGCTTTGGCACTGACCCAGTATTTTCAATATGTTTCCAGTTGGTAAAAAAAAAAAAGTACATTCATAAAAAAAAAAAAATATTTACGTTCTTCCCCATCGAGAATTTTTCCGAATTTTCCCATTCGCCACACAGAGTCTTCAACAATTTTATGCAAAAAAATTGTTCCAGCTTGTTCATATAGGGAGCACGAATGAAGGCGTAATCCATTTCTTTATCCGTATCCGGATTATGTTGAATTGCGGGTCAGTTAATCCGAAAAGGCGTAACAAAAGGCACGCCCTTCCTTCGAGGCACGACTGAGACGTCCTCGTGCCAAATTCACTCGATTTAATGGAAGTAGAGGAAAAGCGGCCGACGTTGCCCATGTCGGTGGATGAAAAGTTTTCCTGGGTCTCCCGTGTTCATTAGGGCTTGATTAAAATTTCTATTTCGCAAAGCTGCGGAACGTGCAAATCACGCGCTGAAAGAGCTCCTTTAAAAAATATGAAGTACTGCAATATATTGGGTTGGAAAGAAAGTCTTGCAACACTTTCTGACGAAGCCCTGCGTTCCGCCCTCGACGCGAAGCCGAACGCAACCACTCGCGAATCGGCGACTACACTTGGAGTCACCCATATGGCCACCGGCAACCATCCGAACGACCTCGGCTATCGGAAGGTTTACTCGACGTGGGTCCCTCATCGGCCCACCGACTCTGAGCCGTGTCGGTGTCTGCGAATCGCTGCTCCTTCGTCCGCACAGAAAGGACCTTCTGAAGGAAATCGTGACTGGGTCCTCGACGTCGACCGTACTCGCAAGCGTCAGTGGCTTCCACGAGGAGAATAGCACGACAACGCTCGTCCACGTGTTGCGAAGATGACTCGCCAGACGATTTCGGAACCGGGCTGGGAAGTTTTACCTCATCCAGCGTATTCTCCGGACTCGGCCCCAAACGACTATCACTCGTTCCGGGCCCTCGAGAATCCCCTGCGGGACGAGGCCTTCCACGATCGAGCACGGCTCGAAAATGATGTCGGCCGTTTATTCGCTTCGCGATCGCCAGAGTTCTGGGCAAAGGGCATCGAGCACTTACCCGTGCGTTGGGAACATGTCATAGACAACAATGGTCGTTACACTGTAGACTGAAATTGCATTTCAATAAAGTTATAACCTTTTGAAAAATTTTGCGCAGAGCGTTGCGAGACTTTCTTTCCAACCCAATAAATACAAAATAAATTAAAAATCATCACCAAATAGATAAACTTTCAAAAAATTGCTTTCATGAGGGAAAAAAAAAACGATTAAAATGTGTCGTGCACCACCGCAGAGTCTTTCTTTCACTGTGCCTCATTTCTACGCATGATACATGATAGGCCTGTAGGGATGCGGATATGATCAAGGGCTGATAAAAGGAGTGTGCACTAGAGAGGAGTGTGCGCAAGAGAGGAGTGTGCGCAAGAGAGGAGTGTGCGCTAGAGAGGAGTGTGCGCAAGAGAGGAGTGTGCGCAAGAGAGGAGTGTGCGCAAGAGAGGAGTGTGCGCAAGAGAGGAGTGTGCGCTAGAGAGGAGTGTGCGCTATTGGGTTTCACCGTTCAAGGCTGATCGAACTCCCAATTTTAGCTCCCGGTTCTCTTTGCTCATTAGCAATTCATTGATTTTTTTTTGCAATCTAAAAAAAAAAACCAGTACCATCTCGTGTGTGGAAGGCTCTGTTGTGCTAAACACTGTCTGCAATACTGTCAGTCCAGCTTCTCCCGTCGTGCAAACTTCCTCGACGAAGTGCAAGTCCTCGATAGATCCAAGTTGGCAAGAACAGCCACTTCCCCCAGCGTCAAAGCGTTCCCCACCGGACGACCCTCAAGGAGTGTGCAGATCTCTGGAAGATCCCCGAATGCCGCGAGGTGCTCATGCACCACTTGAAATAGGAAGCACCATCGTTTTCAGCAATTAAAAAAAAAACACGTATTCCTGAAGAAACGGGTGACCCATTGTACTGCACCAAGATATTTTACTCGTGAATTTATATATATTAAATACAGCATCTCTCGTCAATAACATGCGCCGCTCAATACTTAAAGGGATAAAACTAATCGGAGATCTTGACCCCTGGCGACGTGAAGGCCGTGAGCTGCCCTGGCGGGAAGGGCAGGGGAAGGTCCAGGCTGAAGAGGGGAAGCGAATAGTAGATATAGGTGACGTAAGGGGACGGGTTCGATTTTTTGTTTCCCTTGTCCAGCTTTCGGCCGGAGTCCGGGACAGGAGCCGGATCCGGCTCGGAGCTCTGGTCGGGAATCGGATCCGGGTCGTTCGCGTCCCGTTTCGCTCTGCAGACCCCTTCCTCGGGTTCGGACGACTCGCAGGGCGATTCTGAAAGGAGAGAGCCGAGCTTTGTTACTTCGTCGAAGGAGCACCCTTTGTAAGCAGTTTCGTAGCCGCGGATGCAGCCCATCCCAGAATTTATTTATTTCTTTCTTAAATTAAGTGACTTCAGTTTCACGCGTTTCGGCAGAATGTTCTCAACCAAAGTTTGAAATACTTCAATCGTAGAGGAAAAGAAAAATCAAATTTTTCCCGCAAGAGGAAGGGAAATTTGGAAATTCCCTCCATTCTCTATCACAGCAGCAAACTCGACAAGAGAGCAGAAACTCCAGGAATCCTTACCTTGGAATAAATTCTCCACGAGCGAATCGACGAAGTGGAGGGCCGGCATCCATCCATCGATGGCGTCCGGGTCCTCCTCGCCGTCCCGCCTGTACAGATCCTTGAACGTGACTGCGACGACCGTCTGGATCCAGAGGGCGAAGGGCAGGAGGGCGAGTCCCGTTTTCAAGTTCATCTTTGGCTCTCGGCGAGTCCCGGCTTCGGTTTCTCGAGTCGGCCTTCGAAGGGTCGCCTTTCCCTGAACAGAGAAATTCGTGGATTCATAGGAAAACATTTTAGGATTCCCGATTTTTCTGGATAAACATGCAGAATGCCGTATTCGAGAAGAGGGCAAAGAGCCTCGTGCGACTTCGAGTTGGGAGTGCAGTCGATGACAGTGTTGAAAGTATCATGCACTCGTGTTGTGCATATTTTAAGTGAATAAATTAACTTGACAATTAACAGTTTTAGATCAAAGAGACGAGAACATATTGGAAGAAAAGTAAAGAGTCTGATAAACTAATACATTTTCCAGACAGTTTTCCGTGTTACCTACTCGTCCAATGTTGCACGAATTTTATGAAACACCACGAGAGGATCATCGGTTGACCCAACCATCTTTATGTTCTTTTATCATCCCAGCTCCTCCTTTCCATTCGAATGAGGAGTCTATTCCAGGATAAGAAGAATAGTGGAAGACTCGCCCTTCTTATCCGCACTTTACAACGGACGTAATCGTACAAAAGCGATACAATTCACATCTACAGCCGTTCCCGATCATCAAGGACTTGGCCCGGTAAGAAATCATTACTATTACTTCAAAAAAGGTCTCACGTACAATTTTCTGGACTCTCGGAATCCATGAGATGATCAGCGTACCTGCACAACTAGTTCACGTAAACGAATCGACGGCTCTCGGATAAGGAATACACAGCGAAACGTTTCCAGGCCACCTCCAGGCTGAGACTGATGAGGCAGACGGTCTGCCGAAAGACCTTCAGGGGAGAAGGGGGTTCGCCTTTCGCCTGTCTCAAGGTCGCGCTGCCTCCAGTGCCGCAGAAGGGTTTCGGACGCACCCCCCTTCCCTTCCCTATCCTCCGTGTGGCACAATCAAGTAAAGAAGGAGACCTAAGAAAATTTACACCCTTTTTTCCGCGGTAAAAAGAACCAAGCTTTTACGCTTGTAATCGCCTCGGCTGCTTTCTGTGCCGAAGGGACAAGAACTAAATTATCCTTTCTTTGTGAATGGCCGTATCAAATATACTTGAGCTTTTATTTGCATCGAAGCCGAGGGAAAGCGAGTTTCATTGCTCGTGTCGGTGAGTGAAAGTTGTTGTCATTGGGAACCTCTCGCGCCGTGTTCATTAGGGATAGATTACGATTTCTCACAGGCGTGGAAATCATACGCTGAGAGGGGAAGCTGAGAGATTCTTCGCCCAAAGGGCGCAGAAAAAAAATCGAAATACCGGAAAGTAAACACAAAATGAAAACTTGCCACAGAGTCTTGCTCAAGGACTCCTAGGTGCAATGGCCTTGAAGGACCCGATTGATAGGTGGACATCGTAGGGTGTGGGTTGTTCCATTTTTTATTTGCTCGATTTTGGAAAGATTTAGTTTATGATAATATAGAGTGCGTCGGAGAAGACTTTGCTCGGTTGAAATTCACAAGAGAAGCCTGTTTTCCGAGCGTTCTCAAATTTTCAGTCGGTTCCCCAATCCTCGAACGATGAGCTATTTCTCATTTTTCCGTAGTGGAAACGACGAAATTTTCGACGATGACTTCTTGGATGGGAGGTTTTCCCCGAGAGGAAAATGGCAAATGGCAAGCAGCTATTGGCGGAAGCGAGAACTTCACTGTGGACGTGCAGGTCAGGCGCCCACCAGAAAACCCTGACCCTTGACCTCAGGGGGCGTGGACGCATGTCACCAGCTGGAAAATTTTTCAGGTCCAAAAGCCCGCACGGGCCACCTCCTGCCCCGCCCCTCCCCGCTCACATTCGGCAACACAGAGGCCAAGTGGAAGGGTCTCAGACCTCAGATCTGAGACCTCAGATCTCAGGACTGTCTCTTTGGTTGAGACCACGAGGCCAAATCATTCCCCCCGAGGATAAGTAATAAATAATTTTAAAATCCCGACGGCAGGAGACCGAAGAGCAAAATGAATGCCTTCATTCGTGAATGGGATTTCTGACGAATCGAAAAAGAATCCGCATAGTGAAAGTGCAAAGAAAAGTCTGCATGAGGCATCCGCATTCGCGATGCGAATCGACTCTTCACAGATTCTTTCCTGCAGCGGCTGCCACGCACCGAGACGTTTCTTCCCTTCTGCTTTGAAGGGCGAGAACGCGAGTTCGATTGAATTTGACCAAGGATTGTGGGGGCGGGGGGAGGAAATGACCCTTTTGTGCACTGGAGCGTTGTCCATCACGAAAATGAATTCATAGTCCGGTCCGATGATGGCAAGAAGTTCCAAAAAATCAGGAAACGCAACACGCGCGAGTCCCAACTCCATTGCCTGGTGGTACAAAAAGTCCACGAGAAGGGGCGACCCATAACCTGACGAGCCGACAAACCGAAATTTCCATTTGGTCTTGGTGTGCTTACCAGCTGGCCCGCCTCTTTAAAGGGACGGCGAAGTCCCTTTAAAGTCGCCAATAAAATGGCGATATAAATAATAAAATGGCACAGATTTTTATTAGAGAGAAAAAAAATTTTTTTTTAAAGATATCTCGTCTATTTTATCAGCTGCTCGATACTCTGGGATAAGACTAATTGGCGACCTCCTTGCCTCCTGGAGACGCGATGCCCGCCTTCTCCCCTGGCGGGTAGGGCAGGGGAATGTCGAAGCCGAACATGGTGAAGGAGTACTGGATGTACATGTAGAAGGAAGATGGGGTCGTTCCCCGGACGCGGGAGTTCGGGCCGAATATCGGATTCACCTGGGTCGCGTCCCGTTTCTTTCTGCAGACTCCCTCGCCGGATTCGGAGGATCCGCACGGCGATTCTGAAGGGAAAGAGCCGATTGTAAAATCCTGCCGCCTTCCTGCCACTGGAATGCGGCAAAGGTTTCGTAACCTTCGATGGAGTCCATCAGAATTAAACTAATTCTTTCCAGCTTTTTATTTCCCTCACGTGAAAAGCCGCCCGAGTTTCACACGTTTCCGTGCAAAGTTTTCTGCTGAAATTTGATGTAATTTGTCCGTGTAGGAAAGGATAAGTCATTTCCCCGGAAGAGAAATGGAAAATAGGTATATTTCCTTCACGATGTCATAAATCCCAACCTCTGAGGTAATTCTCCACGATCGAATCGGCCAAGTGGACGGCCGGCATCCACCTCTCGACGAAGCCCATCTCCTCGCCGTCCCGCCTGTACAGATCCTTGAACGTGACTGCGACGACCGTCTGGATCCAGAGGGCGAAGGGCAGGAGGGCGAGTCCCGTTTTCAAGTTCATCTTTGGCTCTCGGCGAGTCGCGGCTTCGGTCTCCCGAGTCGGCCTGCTCCCGACCTTTCCCTGAAATTCATGAATTTGTCAATTATTTATTTTCAATTATTTTTGGACTCGAGAGGCTCATGCACACGGAATGCCGTGATCGATCGGCCATTGAAGGTCGCCGTGCGACCTAACGCCCAGAGGCGTTGTCGGGCATGCATGTCGAAATCGACACGCATCAGCCGATCGCTCGGCGACGTCGAGTGAACAGGTCTGTCTAGACCCGAGGTTTCGAAGGAAACCGTATCTAGACAGGGTTACGGGTCTTTCGAGACGCACCCGATTTAAATGCATTCACACAATTCACACATCGTTTGACCTTTTGTCAACCTTGTTTGACCTTTTGTCGACGAAGAGAGTCCGTTTCATATTTGATCGCAGCAATACAGATCAACCGGGGAAATTCGCCAGACTGAAGAAACGCTCGATTCGGTGTCTCATGATTACGCCGAGTCCGTCCGAGATTCGAAGTCCCCGAAGGACGTTGAAAAAATTCGCATTTGGAATCACGGATCCAGACACTGCCTCATATTGATCTGTTCCCCATTAGTTTCTGCACAAAGCAAGAAAATAATTAGCTCCGAGACATCAGCTCACGCCTAACCAGCCCACAAAAACCACGTGCATCTTCGAAACAAAAAAAAAAAAAAAAAATTCGGATTGTCAACGAAGAGTCGAGTCGAAAATCTACACTTACGAGGGTCACTCAATAAGTTATCTACCTGAATAAGAAAGAAACATCCGAGGGGAAAAATAACACTTTATTTTTCAATGTAACTTTTAACTCAACACACATATTTCACTTTGAGTCCAAGGATTTTATTCCCTGGGAATAAAATCCTTCTTGTCCATCGAACCAATCAGAAACGGCAACTTTCAGCTCTTCATTGCATGAAATTCTTTTTCCCCGCAAAAATTTTTTCAAGTGTCAGAAAATAGTCAGTAGGATCAGTAGGAAACGGGCGCGTTGTCATGGAGATGAAGGACCCCCCCCCCTTGACGACTTTGCGTTTTTCCTCGATGGCATCGTGTAAATTTTTCATGGGAATCGCCAGTGATCGTACACTCGTCTGGCATGAACTCGAGCAGCAGTAGTCCCTCGCCGTCCCAACACACAGTGGCCATAATCTTTCCTGCAGATTTCCGAACACGAAATTTGCGAGGCGTTGGCGATCCCTTGTGCTTCCACCGCATGGACTCCTGCTTGGTTTCGGGATCCCAGTGGTGAATCCAAGTTTCATCACCAGTTACTTTTCTGGGAAAAAAAAGTTTCCCCGGTTTGTTTAGAGAACTCCAAGTTTTCCTTGCAGATGTCAGATCTGTTCTTCTTCCGAGCTGGAGTCAGCATTCTTGGGACCCAGCGAGAACCGACTTTGGACACGTGTAATTTTTCCATGAATGATGTGAATCACTGTGCCCTCTGAAATCCCCAGTTCCCATGAGCGAAAACAGAGACTTTGGTGCGACGATCCTCCGGTATCGCGCTCTCCAATTGTTGACACATTTCCTGATCAGAAGCCTCTTCTTCATCTTCATGGGTCATCTTCGATCGACTCTCTTCCCCACTTAAACTGCTTGCTCCAAAATTTAACTCGGTAATAAGAAGGCGAAGACACACCATAAAGGTTAGACATACGTTCATGAATCACCTTAGGTGCTTTCCCTTCTTTGGTGAGGAATTTGATCGCTGAACGATGTTCGACTTTCGTCAAATCACACAGACTCGGGAAAATAAATCTAACGCGCTACCACTTTGAACGGCCTTGAGCCACTGAGCTGGTGGGGCACTCACGAGACCTGTCGAGACAGGTCACAGCAGGCACAGGCCTGTTGCTCATCCCTTTCATATTCAGGTAGATAAATTATTGAGTGGCCCTCGTATCTTTTTTTTTTTTAGACGGCTATTCATTCGGGATTGGACACATGGCTGCACGACAAATATATTCATCGATTGATATGATTGAAATAGGTTGAAAAATCCTTCCTTATTTTATGCAGTAAGAAAATTCCGGACTCTCCACAGCATTCAAACACGAAGTGGGAAATTAAATATTGGAAAGGTCGCGTCCGAGGCAGTCCCCTTCGCGAATTATTTTATGTTTCTTCCGCCGCTGGAATCATTGCTCGCACTCGTCTTTTTGAATCGCCAGCTGGCGCTTGGGGCGCGTTCGCAACGCTGCTTTAAATGTCCTGAAATTTCCTTTTTTTTCAGTTTCGGCGGTTTCTGACCTACCTATCGATCCCAGGGCTTCGAAAGCCGTCCAAATCATCGGACTAGTAGGGAGCCCTGAGGGAGACCATTTTGTAGCATGCGTTGGCGGCTGGTTTTATTGCCGAGGCTAGTACGAGGGCTCCGTACTAGCACCTTCAACATCTAACATCAGTGACATGCCCGCGACCACGTCCCGCAAATTTGCGTGTGCCGACGACCTAGCGCTGGGAACGCAAGGTAGCACACTCGAGGAAACGGAAGCCACTCTAAATAACGAAATAAAAATAAGATGGAAGATTACTTCCGTCGATGGCGTCATCTGTCCCAACCCGCAAAAAAGACCGCAGTTACAGCATTCCACCTCCAAAACTCCGCCGCCAACAGAACGCTAAAGACACAGTTCTGCGGTCAAAGTGTCCAGCACGATCCAAACCCCCGCGATCTGGGAATGACACTGGATAGGAGCCTGACGTTTAGGCAATACCTGAAGAAACTCAGAAATAAGCTAGCCTCGAGGGTCGAGCTGATCCAGCGCCTCGCTAGCACTACATGGGGATCCGACGCACGTACCCTCCGAACCGCAACACTCGCCTTGGTCTACTCGACCGCGGAGTACTGCGCTCCTGTGTGGGCTCGCAGCACTCACACAGACGCAATCGACCCGCAGCTGAACGCTGCTCTTCGAGTCCGCTCCCATGACTGACGAGGCAGGCAGTCTGCGGGATGACCCTCGGGGGAGAAGGGGGAAGAAGGGGATCCGCTTTTCGCCTGTCTCGAGGTCGCGCTGCGAAGTCACGGCATTCTCTTTTCTCCTTCCGAGTCTGCGGACAGGGCGGGCATGGAAGCGAGGGATCGTTGACTCGTTTATCAGGAGTGAGTTCTGGGTGAAAAAAAAAGTGGAGAAAAAGTGGCTTACGTTCAAGGGAAAGGGTTCCGGGGAGGTTCTCGGAGAGACCCCTCTTAGATCTGCGCAGAAACGCGTTTTGGGGGGTGGAACGCCTCGCACTTTCGGGTATGCTGTGCAAGTGGACAGGGTAGCGAAACGCACCTTTGGCATGGGAAACTGGGCAAGACCATGACATCGCGAAATCCGAAAATGTCCTCTACTCCAAAAACCTTTATTTTTGTGATGGGTTTTGTTACTGGGCTTGCTCACATTACATCGGAGCTGTCATGAAAATCCCTTTTGCGTCACCATTATTCCCAAATTTTTTCAATCAATTCCTAACGATCCCGATTCATCCTCACTACATTTCCCCAGTATCTCAGTCTGGAAGAGTTCTGGTAGGTACGAAGATCCAAATAGTCAATGGATGGATATGCAAGTACTTGTAATTAATAACTTATTTCACAGTATTTGTGAATACTTCGTGAACGAGTTCCTGAAACAGAAGATCCTTGGGGATCTTCGACGGCCGTTCCTTCCCTGCATCACCCGAGAGAAAATAATTTATCTCAGGCTTCATTATCCTCTGTGCTCTCTTCAGCTTCCGACGAATGATTTCTACCCCCAAGCAATGAGCATTCATGGTCATCCGGTACGATGGTTTTATGTCACTGTATCCATTCTCGATAGGAGACCTGCCAGCCCTCCACGATTCTGTCATGTCTGGAAATATTTCGTGTCTGCCGAGTCCTATAAATATTCATAAACAATACAAACAATGCAATATTTGCCATTGTCACTCATAACTACTAAGTGAGCGAATGAATTAAAATAGGTACCTAAGAATACAATGGAAATCAATGAAAAATTGATGTACGATGCGAGGTGGTTCTGACCAACGATATGTACAACGGCTGCGAGAGACGAGAGCCTGTGCGACCCGTCTTGGGCCTCAAGCAGAGAGGTAATGAGGGAAGGGCAAAGCGCCCGCTTTTATAGTGGAACGTTTCGCTGACGTCATGCGATGGCTTCATCGTAGTCTAGTCCATGGAGCCTTAATTAGGGAACTACTTCCCAAACTCCCCCGGAGATGGCGCCTAGCGCGGAATCTCTTACCATACTCCTCCCGAGATGGCCGGAGAAGTTCCAATTCTCAAGGACGTCCAGGGGTCCGGTTCCAAAAGTTGTGCAGATTTGGCGCCATCAACGGAATAGGTTCACGAATCTCTCCTAAGATGGCGCAGGAGGTAGAACCAGTTCCGCTAGACGTCCAGAGATGGCGTCTCTGCAACAGAGTTCGTCAGGTTACTAATCACATTGTAACAACTGGAGAGTTTTAACTGAAAAAGGACTCTAAATCCATAATTAGAAAAAAAAGAAGCTTGGACTCACGTAGTTGATGAGAAGGCATCCAAGGACAAGGTGGCAGGAGGACGACTCCGCTGAGGCCATCCAAACGGGGTTTTTATATCCACTACGCCCCCAGTTGCAAGCCTCCTCCGTGCCCCTCTCTTCCGCCCACGCCGCCTCGTCCCATTGGGGATGCTTATCTGACCTTCCACTCCCCTCCACTCCCCTCCACTCCCCTCCACTCCCCTCCACTCCATCCGTTTCCATCACCTCCATTTCCACCTAGTTGACATCATACGGTCGTGGCTTAGAGACCTGCTACAATACCAATTTCTTCCAATACCTCCGGCCTTTTTTATAACAGAGATTCGACTGTATCCCTGGAACGTCATAATATATGTAACCTCTTCCCGCAATAGCAGCTGCATCACTTGGCAGTTGGAATACGGAGACAAGGCGGAACAAAAAATTTCTCAAAAGGAAATTTCTCGTCTGATTTCTGTTTTGCTGAACATGCTAAAGATGAGCTTGACGGAAACGATAATTGCTATTCAAGATCTATGACTCGACCCATCTCGAAGAAAATGGTTTTGACAAAATGCAACTTCTTCCATCGAGGTTGAAACCGATCCAGATGAATTTCCATTGCCCTCTAGAAGCGTTGATTCCTATCCCAGCATCCCCACCCGCACCTGTCCACATCGTCCCAATCGTTGTAATGTATTGTAATCCGTTGTAATCCGTATCTCTTGCAGAATTTTCTGTAAGGCAAGCGTAGTCCGCCCCGCCTCCGTTTCCACCGCTCCTTTTGATTCCATCATCCTTACATTATTTAATACAATCAATATCATTTAATCATATGTTTTTATAGTAACGGTATAAAAATATCCCGGTGAAGTATCATCATTTTAAAATCTCTGGTTCAACAGTCGAGACCGCCGTCCTACCCTCAGGGTCTGATCCCATCAACGCCGATTAGCATCGGTGGAAGGGGAAGGTGGAAGCCGCAAGGTCGACGGGAGAGGCAAGGTCGACGGGTCCAGCCGGATTTGGGTATAAAAGGAGGTTGGATGGCTTTCATGCGGCAGTTCTCCGCTTGTCGTCGTTCCAAGTAAGTCATTTCTCTTTAGTATCTATAAATTAGCTTGTATCTGTGAGGGATTGGATGTGGTATGGATTTTTACGAATGGGGATTTTTGAGGACCCAATACTAGAACCAATGCTGAATTCGGGCCTCACGCGTAAGTTTAAAACGATATACGTAAGTTCTGTCGCTTGAGGCTATTATTGTAAATAAGTAATGTAATTATGAATTTGAATTGAATACATTAAAGGCGGAATAGGCATGGCTGAGCGTGTCTCGTGGAATATCCTATGGTTTCCTTACGGCTTCAAGCTTGAGGACTTCGTCCATGAAGGAATTCCCCGCTGCCGTATTGTTTTTATGTTGTTTTCCCTACGCCGTTAGTTACTGTGATTAGGCCATATGAAATTTACACATGTAAAGCAACATGATTCTGAGCCTAAAAATGAGGAAGGGAAAGCCTCGTTTAAGGTGGGATGAACAAGGGTGAGCTCTTTTTCTTTCCAACGACCTGTCTATTTAATGTTAGGAATGCTGATATGCTCTGCGACACAAATCGACTGTGCTTTAGATGGAGAAAAAGTGAGGGGAATAGGGACGGTATGACATGACTGTGAATTTTATGACATGGATATCGGGGAGTTAATATTCGGTGAGCCATGCACTTGTTCATGAAGGTAGCTTCGTTCTCTGGTCTTATCATGGCACTCTCATCGAGAAAGGATAAATGGAGAAAATATGTAAGATCAACCCTTCCTTATTTAAGAAAATACGTTAATAAAACCGGTTAGTCCTCTACGTTCGAATACGTAGTGGGGAATCCAATCCACATTCATGTAGAATTAAACAAATAAGACGTTTGGCCACAGCTCGTGCTACCTACACGAAATATCCACACTTTACGTTGGACGTAATCCTGCAATATCTATCAATTACCTCAATTAACTCGATGAATTGTCGGCAAAACAATAATTGCCCGTACTTCTAAAATGTCTGTCGGATTATTTAGGTCACACTTGGAGTCCACCAGTTGCATGGTACCAAATGCCTGGACAGCTAGTTCACGTAAAATAGTCGACGGCTCTCGAAGGAAGATTTCCAGACGGCGCAACGTTTCCAGGCCATCTCCATGCCGAGTCTGACGAGGCAGGCAGTCTGCTGGATGGCCCAGGGGGAAGAAGGGGGTCCGCCTTTCGCCTGTCTCGAGGTCGCGCTGCGAGGTCACGGCGTTCTCTTTTCTCCTTCTGAGTCTGTGGAGAGGGAGGGCACGGAAACGAGGGATTTCTGGTTGGCTTGTTTGTCGGGAGTGAATTCTAGGTGAAAAAATTGTCGCTTGCGTGGTTTCGTTGACGCTAAAAAGTGGTAGGTGATGTATGGTCTCGACGGCGTTCCGTGCTGGAAGAAGGACCTGAACCTATTTTTCATTAGTTGTGTGAAGGTGAACTGTGAGATCAATTTGATAAATGTGCAGAGTTTTGTGCAAACGAGGATAATCTGCACGGTTGGATGCCTCGTGATCATGCGAAATAATTTTTTTTTAAGTAAAAAAGTAAAGTAGAGAAAGTAGCTTACGATGCTCATGAAATGTCGCTGGATGAAAGGTGCCATCGTGAAACGCTTTAAGCAGGATCCGTGCTGGAAAATGCTGGGCCCACTGCGACAAATACTTTGGACTCCCCTGGGTTCAGTAGGTTTGCCCCTCACGATATTTCCGATTATCATTGGGGACAGTCTGCCCTGAGCCTCGTGTATCAAAGAAACCCAAAGTCCTGAAAGGGCCCACCCAGCCATCGTGGCGATGCCTCGAAGGTAGAATCGGTTTCCAAAGTCCGTCTAGAGATGGTGTTTCTGCAACCGACACTGTACTCCCTGTAGCGTTTTAAATTGAAATGAGTATTGACTGAATATGAAAGGGCAAACTAATACTCGGAGTATATCTTTCTTTAGCGGTCGATTGGAGGAAGTCTGCCGGAGGACAACACCGCTAAGGCCATACACACTACGTTTTTATGCTCCCTACTTCCACAAGCTTCCTCCGTGCCCCCGTGGCGCCTCCTACCCTCCACCCACGCCCCCTCTTCGCATTAGCGATGCTTATTTGACCTTCCACTCCCCTCCATTCCATCCATTACCATCACCTCGATTTGCCCCAATGAAGGAGAGCCTCAAGGTGGAGGGGAGAGGCAAGGTCGACAGGTCCAGCCGGAAGGGGTATAAAAGGAGGTTGGATGTCTGTCTCCGCTCGTCGTCCCTCCGGGTTCGTCTTATCTCTTAATCTGCTACTTTGACTTTTTCTCAATGTCTTCGGCCTCCTCGAGTGGGACTCGAGGCCCAACCAATATTGATTCCCGCGCTTCACATGTGAGTTTGAAAGGACTTTCGAACGTTTAGTCTTTACAGGCTGTGCCCGATAAAATTTTAACGGAATTTAGAATTTTCAAAGCATTCCATAAAGGCAGAAGAGGCAGAGTCGGCTGAAATATCCCAAGCTTCGTGACTTTCGACTCCGAAACGGTGGAGACTTCGCCCGTGCAGAATCTCGCCAGTGCCGTTCTTTGAACGAAGGAATCTGTATGGCTGATGGAATGGTTGACTGTAATCCGTTAGGAGCGGCGTTTGGTAACTTAGGCAAACTATATCTGCGTGTTTTCCCATGAAAGTAAGACGAGATTATAATGGAGTATCTCCCTCTCACTTATGACGAGTAGTGTGAGCTGAATCGGAGTCGCGTCAGATGTGGCATCACACTTGAGTCTCGATCAGGTGAATTTTAAAATGGATTTTCGTTGCTAGAGAAAACCTTTTGAAAATGTTAATCTGGTGTCGGAACATTTGACTTTTTTTTTTTAGCCATCAGATTCGATGGCTGTAAATGTGCTGTGACGAAATGAGCATTGACGCATTGGAACTGCATCGCCGCTATCCGGCTGCCGCTAGGAGTTCATGGGAACTACGTTCCATCATCAATGCCACATTTGGAGAAGTAAGGGAACCACTCCGGGAATTCTGTGGAACCGGACTCCATGAAAGTCATTTAAGGGCACTCATCTCGTTCGCGCATCGCCGAGACTTTGCTGAAATTAAATCCTCACTTTGTTCCATCGGAGAGTCTGTCATGCATGGGAAAGGTGAGCTAGAACCCATGAAGAGATATTGGAGAACATCAGAACACATTGCTAATTTGTCAATTGTCTGTTCCTCATGATCAAGGGATGAGACAAGTCCTTAACGATTTCTAAAAAGATTCAGTACGTCCTTGAGCACTGCCTGATGCTACTGGCAATCGCTCAGCATTGCAAACTCGAATCGGACCCAATGACGATGGGAGCTGGCAGGCTCGGGTCATTTGATGGAATTATCAAATTCGATTTCCCATAGTTTTACTTGGAATCATTTGATTGACAGATTACGCGTTGAAATTAACATTCTAATACCCTTTGAATTCTCTATATTGAGTCATCACGATCTCTTATTTTGCAAAAGCGGCATTCTTCCTCTCGCACACATTGATTCACGAGACAAAGGAATTATTTCCTTAACTAGCGCACACACTCCAGCGCAAGATGAATCCAGCGGACGACACGTTTGGAGAACATCTACAAGCAATAGACCAACCGATGCCAAGCCAAGAATCAGAGATTGCTTCAAAAGAAGTAACTGACGTCTGCTTTTCCCACAAGCAATCGGCAGAATAAATTGTTTTTACTTATCGGTACGAAAAATTAAATACGAATTCTTGTCCTTCCAGTACTGGTTCGGGACTTCCAAGTACGTCAGCAGTACATCCAAGAGGAGAGAAGTTGATCGGTACATCATGCCTCCAGAACTGCAAAGCAATTGACAGGTTTGTTGGGAGAACGAGCAATGCTCACACGTTCCCAGCTCTCTCGGCCCAAATCAAAATTTTTCACCTTTTGACGGATTGTGCGGAATCGGGTAGGACTGCTTACATTCGAGTCTCTGAAATCACTGGGCAGTAAGAGGGAAGTGTGAGGAGAAGTGTTCCAATTGTTTTTTCGAATAATTTTTAAAATAAAGTACTTGGTAAGGATCGGTTGGAAAGCGATGACTCTTTCGCGATTTCCCTCGAGAGGCAGTAATATGCCAGCAACGAGGATATTCATCATCTTGGCAGCAGGCATCATTACGACGCCAGACGCATCGACGACGACGAAATTGGCAAGTTTCAGGGTGAAATAAGCAAATATTTTGCATTTTTTCCAGAACAATTTTCTTCATCGCCCCTGAAAGTCTGCTCGGCAGGCTCGCCCGCTCGGCCTCGGAGTCGTGCGAGCCCCCGCCACAGCAGGCTGCGCATATCCACGCTCAGGCGAACCGATTGAAGGGAGGACTTTCCATTATTGTCGCCGCGACTCTCGCGGAATCGCGGTCGAGGGCGAGGCCGAAACGCGATTAGCATAATCGGAAACTGAAAAATTCATCGGTTGTAGCCGCGGCCGTCCAAGTTGATTCGGACCTTTCCCGGTGGAACGAGAGAACCCGGATTGAATTAGATTCGACGAAATAAATCGACGGGCACGTGCAAGGTTCCCAGAGTGATTTAAAGCGTCTTGGGCGGATGAGCCCCATTCCCTGTGCCTTGTGCATTCCGCGCAGCATCGAGGAATCTGTCCGCACAAACTGAAAATTCTCTTTTAAAAAATTGTAGTAAATTGACTAGAAGAAAAACCAACCAATACCACAAGTAAACTACCGAACCAAATGCCAAATAACCAGCTGCATTCAAAGTACGGCCCGCGGGCCGCACGCGGCCCAGTTTCTATTTATATGCGGCCCCCTACGATGCTCATATATAATTGACGATTTCACATTGAACTCATTTACCTGTACTCAAATGAATAATTTTATTAAGGATAAATGCAATGAATTACGATAAACGATATTTGATCGTCGTATTAGATTATTTAGCTCAAAGTTTCTTCATTAATCACTTATTCATGTCTAATTAAACATTTCTAATATGTTTACATTCAACTGTTTTGATATTTACATGTGCACTTGTTAAACTCACCCGAAATTAATTCCGCAAATTAAAACCGTAATTTGCGAATAAATGATACGAGGATCAACTTAGCCGAAATCCAAGATTCTTCTCAAAGTTAGCCAAATTCTTTGCAAATTGACGGTGGCAAACGCTCAGAGCGTGCCAAGTCAGTGCTGAATTCACTTTCGTTTGGTGACATGGCGAATATTCTTCGCAGAATGTTATTCGACCGAAATATTGCAGTAATAAAAATACTTTATTGGTAGTAATTCGATATTACGTCTCGACCCCCCAAGTGGCCTTGACGTATGTATTCCGTCATGGCGAAACGCTTCCCAGGTGGGTTTCAAATTTTTTTTTTTGTCGGGCTGCATTTTGTTTTTCGAGTTAAATATGAACTCGAACCTCGAAGTGGGCGCATGAGCTCGAAAAAGAGCATTGCATTTTTTTTGCACAAATTATAACTCGTGCGAAAAAAGTTCTAACTCTGGTGGCAGGCATCTGTCCGAGAAACTCCCTCCTTAAAGGGTTAAATAGAAGGAAAATCCCTTCGGCCAAAAAAAAGAAATTGCATACGCAGGGAAAAAAATCTGTTTATCCTCGAAAGAAATCCCCCAAAGACGGGAGAAAATTCCTGGAGAACAACGAAATGAAATTTCAATCCGCTTCACGATCTTCATCCTTGCCTCTCCTGAGACACCTCCAATAATTCCCTCTCCCGGGATTGCCTGCAGCCTCGCGATTGCCCTTTAAATTCGTTCGAGCTTGAGGAACGAATGCAAATCTTCACCTTTGCGCTATGCCCGCATAGTACGTGATGGCGATTTTCAATGTTCCTGATTTTCATAAGCTCTCATTTTTATAATTGACAACTGATTTAATGAGTAATAGCTGAAATTAAGGTTAAATCTACGCAGTTTTATTGATATCAAATAAATGTTACAAATTATAATGACTTCTCTCGTGTGATCGTCGGGGAGCGACGTTTCACCTCGTCTCCATGTCCGCACCCTTTGCCCCAGCGAATATTGGCACCTCATGTTAACAAATCAGCAACGAAACAAAAATGCATGAGACAGGCTTACTGGAAATGTGTCACTCAACGGCTCTGCGTTGAAAATTGAGTACATGGCGAGCCATTAAATTCGGTAACATCGGGAATTGTCACCCTGTAATTAATTTTTATAATCTCTCCATGTCGAGGGCATTAGATTCACGATGACATATCATTGAAGTAAATAATATTAATTAAAAAAATTAGATCCTCATTGATCCATGAGAATGAGATATCCATCGAATGATTTTCATTAAATATTTCTATGCAAGTAAGTTGACCTAATTTAAATGCAGGAGGAAGAAACGCTCGCCCTTCCTCCCTTGAAAGGGCGGACGGTTGACACCTCCACGCTTGCGTGGAGGTGCCTCCTCTCCGATCGTTGAAGTGACCGAGTTTGTTTGTTTTTCGCCTCGCTTGGCTGTGGGTCGGGTTTGCGCGATTCCCGAGTGCGAAAATTTTGTGCTGAATTTGGCTCGTGCATGGATTTGCACGGAAATTTCTGATTTTTGCAGCTGCAACGGCGTGTGCTCAGATGAGGTCGGTGATCCCGGTGCTCTTGAGTCTGCTGATCGGTACCTTGGGAGCGGACGAGTATCAGTCCCCAAATGAGTACCCGAGCCAGTACTTGAACAAGTGGGTGGTGGAGGTCCCTGGGGGGGCCTTGCACGCCCGGAGCGTGGCGCGGCGGCACGGCTACGTCTACGTCGGTCACGTACGCGGTCCATTTCTGCAATATCCGAAATGACTAAAGAGTGACAAAATTAGCACCGAATATTAGCACGAGGAGTGAAATGGCACGCTCTCGCGATGCAAGCGGCTGACGCAACCAGATGGGGAAGCGATATTCCCATCGAGCGCGTTCCAATTTCACTTTTTTTCTCTGAACGATTTAAATTTAATTGCCAATTTCCAAATTGCCCATGCCAGACAGCGGCCTTTTCCGCGGCTTTGCCAATGAATGAACCGATCGGATTGAAGCTGTCGATTTTTCCATTTACGCCGGGGCGTCTATATTTTTCGCGGGAGTCTAGGGGTGATTCCGGAAAATTCCCTAAATTCTAAAAGAGATATTAACAAACTCTATAATAACAATCCCTAAGAAAATATTTCTTTCAATATCGCTTTCAGAGCGATTTTCGGCGATCGAAAAAACATTTTAATCGGCTTTAAGCTCACTTCAAAAACTATTGAGCCATTTTTTCGCTATCATTGCTTAATAATTTTAGATGGATGTCCCAGGTCGAAGAGTTCATGTTAGCCCTTGGTTTAAGGTCTTCTAGAAAGGTTTTGGAAAGGTTTCGCTGATTTTTTTGCAGCGTGGACGGTCGATGTTTTTTTTCATGAGGCGTCCAGGTTGCTCAGGTTCAATGTTACATGTGTTTCACTCGAAAATAAATTACCAAATCACGTGAGTCACCCGTACCCGCGATTGCAGATATAATGATTTAATATAAAATTACATGCTACGGAATTTTAAATAAATTTTAATATCCCTTCCCCCAACCCACCGCGCCGAATGAGATTTCCCTCCGCAACTGCACAATTCGATTTGGACAATTGGACGCCTTCGTAGGCGAAAATGCTCTGGCAAATCGAATTCCATCCCTTTAAAGCCGAGCTTCTCCGTTAATCTCTTCGAACTAGAAGGGAAAAGAAAGGACAAATCCAACCCCATAAAAAATCCCAGCCTCCCTCCAGCCTCCCTCCAGTCTCCTTCCTCTTCTGCCACAAGGGAGAGAAACATCCACAACAAAAGGCTTCGGGTGGTCGACTTCCATCCACGAAGGGAGGCATGTCGACCGTCCGACCCCCGGCGAGCGAAAGCAGCATCCGAGATGAATGTGCATCCCGTAATTCGATCCTTTCCTGACATCCCGTGTCGGCACGGTGTCGGGTCGTCCAAAGGACATCGAATCCGACACACCCCGTTTTTAATGGATCCCCTTCCACCATATTAGATTATATTCCCCCGGGAACATAAAAGCGGGCATTACTCCCCGCGTCAATTTTCCGCCGCCCTTTGCTCGACTCGATGCGTCAACACGAGGAAATGATGAGGGGCGTCGTGTGTCGCGCTAACCTGTGATTTATCGGGAAATATTTCAACCCGGAAAGTTTGCCATGCTCGCAAATTCTCGTGCCAATATCGATGGAATTTGCATGCCCAGGTGCCTGGATTCGAGAACCTGTTCGTGTTCGAGAGGCGGAACCAGGCGCGCCTCTCCAAGCGGGGATCGGCGAGTCTCACGCACAAGCTCAGCAGTGATCGTCGGGCGAGTCTCACTCGAGTCATGCCAGCATGATCGTGCCAGTATGATCGTGCCAGCTTGGTCATGCCAGCATGACTCGTTTTCCGTTCAGGGGCATCGAATGCCCTGGGGAGCGATGATTTGTGGGAAATCTTGCACGAAACGGTCAAATCTCCGCGAACGTGGGGATACGTTCCGTGAATGTCGATTTTGGGGGATAAATTTATTCAATCGGTGAACATGGGTGGGCACGGTGGGTGGGCACGGTGGGTGCAAAGATAGCTTCTGGGAAAGATTATGCAAGTTTTATAGACAGTCGACTGTAAATTGCTGAAAAATTTTTAAATTACAGGCTAAGAGCTTATAATCCACGAGGATTATAAACCTGGAATTTTTCTCGCGTTAGATCACGTGGGTGGAGCAGCAAACCTCCAGAAGAAGAGAAAAGAAGTTCTTCATTGGGGGGAGCGAGCTCGGAATCGTCGAACGGGTGCTCCGCGGGAACGTCCGCGACGCTCGCGGGAGGGATCGCCGATTCAACGACGAGCTCTGGGACCGTCAATGGTACATGGTACGCCTGATACAATATTATCCGATACGGATTATCATTTAAAAAAATTGTTCGATTAAATTAACTCGAAATACAAGTTTAAAATGTAGTTACATTTATTAAATTACATATAAATAAATTAGCATGAAGGGGAAGTCTCGCTGTGGAAGCCATGGAGCATGGACCTAGATCTGTTTCACGCCCAACCGAAAAAGGAAGGGAAGGCAATTGTCTATTCGAGCCTTTCGTCGACACAAAAGTCTGCAAATTGGTGAACGTCCTCGAGGACGCTGCATCTCCCTTTTCATCTTTTACTGGGACCTCCGAGAAGGAAGAACAAAGACTCGGCAGTACTTCGATCGGTCAGTCTCCCTTACGCGAATGAGCTTCGTTCCGGGCAAAAAGGTATGGCTCGTCGCGAAGACGGCTATTCTGGACAATCTGACTTCAAGAAATTAGGTAGCTTTATGGATGATGCTACCAGGAAGCTGAATACCATCATCGCAGAACAAGCAGATCTGAAGGTGGACTCTTTGAGTATTGAAGCAATGTTGGATGTTGACAACACGAAGAGGGTCGATGGCATTGGGGGATCCTTGTCTAGCATGGAAGAGCGACTTTTAGCCCTGGAGATATAAAACCAAAAAGGCAAAGGAATGTGGTGGTGTTGGGTCTGCCCGAGGGAGAAAAGGAAAACGCAGAAGAAACCATTCTTGATTTTTTTTCTCTCCACCCTTCGTCTCCCAGACTCGTCGGTCTCAGCCATGAAATTCCACGCTGTACGCAGACCCCGAGGACCCTAGAGTGAAATTTCGCCCGATGACGGTCGCTTTCCTCTCCGTACAAGATAGGGAGGTGGTTCTTTCTAATGGAGGAATGCTGGCAGGCAAGAAAATATCCATGAAAATTGACCTTCCACCTCTGAGGGAATTGCCTACAAGTTGCGCCAAGAGCAGCACCAGGGTGGTCTGCCGGGGTACAGATCTTTCTCTCCAAGTCTTCTCAGGAAAAGAAATCGATGGGAAGCCTATGAGAGTAAAAGGGCGTAATTATTCTTTCCTAATTGAATTTTTGTGCCCAGTCCCTTACAAATCGCCACTCTCTTTGAGCGGTTACCTTTCCCCTTTTTTGTTCTTTTTTTTCCTCTTCCCCTTTCCTTTCTTTTTGGCTCTGAAATGTCTCTGAAAATAGTATCGGCTAACTGATTAGGAAATCTGTACAAGAGGCGAGATGTTTTCCATTTCCTGAAGACTAGAACAGACACAAACATGATTTGTTTACAGGACACTCATTTTGTCGATAACTTGCCTTACTTAATTCGGTCTGAATGGGGCAGCAATGTATTCTTCTTTTTCTTCTGAGTCTAGGGGCGTAGCTATCTTGATTGGACCAAACGTAAATTTTTGCTATGTAACTAAACCTGTTTATCAGAGAGCGGAAGGAACTTTTTTGTTGCTGAAGCTCGTAATTGATAAGATAATTCTCTGTCCATTGGTAATGTATATGGACCTATGGATGACAAAGCTGTTTACTCGGAAATATCATTGAACAAAATTGTGCCTCTCTGATACTTTGTGGTGATTGGAACTTTGTGCTGGAGCCTATGAAGGACTGTATGAACCATGTGAATGTTAACAATCCCAAATCTAGAAAAATTGTTCTGGACGTCATGGAAGCTAATGTGTTGGTTGACGTCTGGAGAGAACAGGACCAAGCAGCAAGGCGTTTTACTTGGCGGAGAAAAGCCCCTTCTTGATTTCTTTCTCGTGTCTTCTGATGTAATTTCTAGGGCTACAGCATGCGATATTTCTTATGGATGTGGCTCTGACCACTCGGTTTCCTTCTCTTGGATTTCCGAGGAAACGTGGTGAAAACGACCTTGTGGAAATTTAGTAGTAGTCTTTCGAGAGACAATGAGTTTGTGAAGTTGATAGAAAGAAGCATTAGAGATTTTGGGCCGATTGCATGAACGATGTTTTCCCGGTGTTTTCCCGGTGTTTTTCCGAAAGTCATCGGTTAACCGATGTCTAAGGCCAAAAACGGATTGCATGAACGCTATCTTCCTTTAACCATTGTCTAACCGATGTCTAACAGAAGCTGAAAAAGGTGTCGTTTCCCAGACAAGGGATGGGGCATGTTTTGCCAATTGTTTTGCCGATATTTGCCGATATCTCGACGAGTATGGTGCTGCAGTGTACTGGTGAGGCACAATGGGATTCTGTTCATGGATCCGCTCGATAACGGAGATGTGCTCTCGTTGTCGCATGGGAGGAATGAACATAGGTTCTCAGCTTAATCCCTTTGAAGAATATGTTGATTAGAACTTCCGCGTGAGATACCAATTTGGAAAGGGATCAGGGTATGATGTCGACCTGCTTCGCGCTCAACTCGAAAGGAACGAAGGTCGTGGAAGGGATCCCTTAACTTTACATCGACGGATGAGAGCAATCACTGTTCGTGTGCACTGAATCGTGATTTGTTCAAGTACCCATCCCCTGAGTAATTAATTAATATGACTCGAAAGTAAAGAGAGTATCACGAACGCCTTTCGATTTGCATGTTGTGCTGACCCTTCGATTTTATGTGATTCCTGGAAATGGATTGGGTCAAGGCATTGCCCATTTCCATCGCTCATTACATTCCAAGGAGGAAAAATGGAGTAGTTGTACGAAGATAATTATTTGATGTTGGATTTCCAGGAGTGATCGGTGTCATCGACGACTGTCGTACTCGAATAGAATGCCCAGACAATTTTTATCAATCGCGAATGTCTCTATTTCATCGATGCCCAAGCAGTGCGTGATGCGGAAGGGATCATTACTGAATTTGTCATCACGTGACCAGGATCCGCACGCAATTCTCGAATAACCTCATTTTGCAATCGTACACAAATTATATTCCTATTTTCCACATTTCCTACTTCTCCGTGTGTCCAAAACGAATCCTTGGCTTAACCTCTGATACCTCGTATATACAGAGTAAGGTCAGAGGAGAACCCACCAGTTTCCAGGCATGATTATTTGTTGTGCAAGGAAAGTGCATTCTGTCTCTCTCTATCGTGAGATTCTCCTTTACAAGCTCTGCGAGATGTACTTAATCGTCTGAGGAATGGTTCTCCTTTTTCACTTGATTCGCTCGTTTTTTTTTGTGGAGTCCGAAGGATATTACGCGACAACCGAGGAGTCAGAACGTAATATACATATATTAATTACATATATTATATGTATATATTAATACCATGAGGGGTGTTTAGCCATCGTCTAACCATCGGCTATGAAAACATGGCTTAGGGATCGTTCACGCAATCGAAAGTAGACAGCGGTTAACCGATGTTTTCGAAGACAATGTTTAAACAATTACTATCGATAATCAATGTCTAAAATAAACATCGTTCGTGCAATCGGCCCATTGTCCCGGTTTTACCGGGACAGGCTGCTTTCTCTGGAACAGCCCCTGTTTTTGAGGTAATGTCCTAGCAGACCCTAGTAGTTCTACTAAAATACCATATGGTTTTCAATTTGCAACTGACTAATCCTTCTTTTTTCTAGACATCCTCTGACATATTTTAAGTGCCCAAGTCTAGCTGGAGGAGCAGTTGACAACCCTGTTTCTGAAAGTGCACGGGCATAGTTGCGCCCAAGGCTCAGGACCGGGTAGCGGTTGAGTGGTTTTGCTTTGGATACGAAGGTGTACTGGGTCGCAATGAGTCCCTGCGGAGGTGATAAGGCCTTGCAATGAGGTCATAAAATACGATAAAAGAAAACATGAATCTATATGAATATTATCTGTAAAATAAATATGGATCAGTGCATTAATGCAACTTCGTGCACAATTTTATTGTTGGGATTGTTGTACCGAGAGAGAAATAGGGAAAATCTACGCTTCTGTCAACATTGACTCAACTGAAAAGGTGGATGGCCATTTCCTACCTAATCGCGTCCGACGATGAAACCGATGCCATCCAATAGAGCACCTCAAGAATGAAAAAGTGCCAACGGCCACACCGTGATCCGAATTTACCCTGATCCATTAGAGACGAAAGGCTCGAGCAATATAAGTTGGCCGATTTCGACATATAAGGAGTCTAAACCTACTAAATCGGACCTAAAGAATCGAATCTCTTTCTCTCTGACTCTTTTGGTCGCATAACCAACCACATTTTCGGAAATGGTATATCGTAACCAGTTTTGTATAGAAGAGAAGGCCAATAACTATGCTAAAAAAAAACTTGAACATAGGATAAATAATTGTAAAATTGAGAACATTCTATAAATACGGTAAAATAATGCTGTGTTTCGTCGTCAGTGCTATCCAGTACCACACGCACGTCGTCTAGCGACGCAGCGGATATTGGGATCTCGGATAAGTACCTGCCATATCCGAGGTACCACAGAACTGCCATAACATACGCACAGCACCCAACAGTTCAGAGGCCATTTTTGTACTGACAACAATATCCAGCAATGGCCTCGACACCACTCTTCTCCATATCAACTAAAACGTAGACATAGTATTTAATAGAGTTTTGGTGGCGAGACCTGATCCGACCGTGATCAGCTCTGGGTCATCAGCAATGTGATGGATCTGAGTTGTAGAGGTCCTGTATGCCTGCATTCTTGGACCTCGTATCTCCCATGAGCCATACAATTCTCTGCATAGTAAGACACAGCTTGCTTAAGCTGATAAGACCCCAGCGCTAAAAAACGAATGCCTGCTTCAGTCAATCGAGGAAACTCGATTAACGAGCTCTCATCAATAGCCTGAAAAATCGCAGATATCCGGTTGAGCTTCCGGTCGGATGCTAGTTCCGCCAAACGAGCCTGGAAAGCATAGATCCATCTATGCTTTCGCTGTCTTCCCTGTCGGATTCAAAACCTTCATGAAAGGTATTAATATTTAAGATCGCAGCTGCAATCCTGAAATTCTACATTAAATGGGGGATGGATCTGGACCACACTTTTTCAAAATATTGGAAATACTGCTTCAGCCGACCATTTGCAGCCTCCACAGTTTAGCGGCATTTCGTGACAAGGCGTGATCTGTTCGCCTGAGCTGTACTTAGTTGTTGAGTGCCAACCTCAAGAAATTCAGGCATTTTGACGTCGAAACCTATCTCACGGAGAGAGTCAACGACATCTCTAAAACATTGATCTACGTGGAATACATCGCCTCGCATGAAAAAATAACAAAAACCAGCTTTAATCCTGAATAGCTGTGCCATGATCTGGGCATCAGAAGTGTTGGCTGTATAAGGGCCAAACACATCTAAAATAAACTCATCCGGAGCAACTGCTAAAAATTGTTTGAGAAGAAGGCGATGCTTGTGACCACTTTAAGCTTTTATCTGGAAAGCGTAATTGGAGCTCTTCTGGATGTAGACATAGGTACCATCCCCGACGTTGATTACCTTGTCTACGTCATCCTCGCAAAAGAGTCTCCTTATTACAGTGGTCATGTTTCTTCTCAGATCTTCGCGGCTCAGACATTCGAACCCCAGATGATGAGGAACGAAATCCTGCCTCGGGCAACACCTACCTTTCCCCATCAAACGCTCAGCTGACCTACAGGGGATGTTGAAGGGAGTTGCCAACCTCTCATCAGCTTCCCCGGTTCTCAGCTTTGAAAATAATTGCACCAA